CCCCACATACCCAATCAGAGAAGAAGCCACCGTATAATCTGTCCAAACAACTTTCAGCATCAACGACTAAACAAAATCGTCCTGAGCCGCCATAACGGGGACCACGCCTTTTCGGTACGAACCCTCTCGATATCTTTAGCAAGTCGACCGAGACACAGGCACTGGAACACTCTGATTCTAAAAATTCCTGGAAATCCTTAATGCCCATTTTGTATTGCAGCGTGTGAACAAGGGATTACATAATAAGATGGCAGTAGAGGAAAGTGGACAGTCCACAAGAATTCCGATTATAAAGAAGCTAAAATAGACAAATTCTACCTACAATCCGCCATGTGCTCAGCCTGTCGATCGCAGCCAAGATACTTGGCAGGTCACGTGACGGTGCCCGGATTGCATCCCATAGTTCAGCTAACTAATGCGCTACAGTTTTCCATAAGACAACTCGCAAACACGAACGTGCAAATAGTCGTCTGTTGTCTGAAAAATAAACATAATGTTTGCTTTGCAGAAATAACTGTTGGAAACAATTACACCCTCTAATCAATTGTACATTATCACCATCCTGACGACGCCGGAGTTAGTGAGAAGTGTGTTGAGTTAAAACGCGACAGTGTTCCTCCTCTCTCCACACGAAGGAATCGATTATCCATCAGTTTGTTATCAGAATGCAGAACCACAACACCATGGTGGTGACACACACCGACGCACGTGTCATTAGAATACACCGGCAATCCCCTCGTTAGCATGCTGGGGCAATTTTACAGCAATATTACGGCGTTCGAAGTTAAAGCCATGAAGGGAATCGAACTCGGGTTTTCGACATGACGATTATTGCTGTCTCTACTTTGCTACCCGCATTGACCTCTGCTTATTAATGTTGCCAGGGTTACGGTTCACAACTTTCTGGAGGGTCACGAAGGAAGGGTGCATGGAAAGCCAATGGTCTGAGGTGCCGGAATTCACTGAGCAGCGTTTCTTCCTAGACTAACATCTATAGTCTCCGAAATGAAAATATTTCACAGAAAAACGATTCTTGCATTATCTTTATAAAATATTTGGGGGGCACGGGTGACCCAGTCGTCTAAGGCGCCGTAATTCGCTGTGCAGAGTTGCGTCCCTTGGGCACGCAAGAAACCTATGGTTGTGGGTTCGAATCCCGATTCGCCCCGATTATGTTTCTAGGTTTGTCAGCACCATACCCGTGGGTTTCACCGGAGTGGTAAACGTATGAGACCTGCATCACTGCAGGCTTTTCTCCCACATTACGCTGCCACGCCGTGATTTATATCTGGAATACAGTTAAAAGCGGCGTTAAACACAACTCACTCACTCACTTTATAAAATATAATAAAAAAGAGACTTCAGACTGTCTTCATTTAAAAAATTGTAGAAATCTAGACTTGCATGGGCTGTATATATTTTATATACCTGTTTCAGGGTCCGCATGACAGACAACGTTTCATCTCTCAGTTGCTCGGGAGTCACAGATACGCCCCGGCCCGGTTCCAGCATATATACCCGTGGGGGACACACGTGGCCCAGCCGTCTAATATACCGCAATTTGCTGTGCAGAGTTGCGTCCCTGGGCACGCCAGAAACCTGAGGTCATGGGTTCGAATCCCGTTTCGACCCAGTTATGTTTCTAGGTTTGTCGGCACCATACGGGTGCTCGTGGATTTCACCAAAGTGATTAACGTCTGTGATCTGCATCACTTCGGGCTTTCCTCCCACATTAATCTGGCTGACTTGGTTGATGCATGTCATCGTATCCCAATTGTGTGGATAGATGCGCATGATGTCAGTCAATGGATTGTCTGGTCCAAACTCGAATATTTTACAGACCGCCGTCATATAGCTGGAATATTGCTGAGTGCGGCGTTAAACAACAAACAAACAAAACATTAAGCTGACTCTCCGTAATAAAACTGGAATACCGTTCAAAGCAGCGTACACTCACTCACTCTCCCACAATACCCATCCTCGTGAGATTTTTCACAAGAACATCTTCGACCTGCACGCTAGCAATGTGGACTTTTCTCCCACATTGAACTGCCAACTCGTTGTCAACAGATATTTTCTAAATCTTTTCACGTTTTTCATCAAGGTGCTCACATGATTTGATGCACTTCGCGATCTAAGACCCGTTTTATCACAATGTTGATTTTGATTGTCGATCAGATCGTCTTGTCTGGGCGCCGCCTTTTTGTTTGAAACAAATGCAAGTGATACGAGAGGTTGAATCTGATTGGTCCATAGGAGAGGCATATAAGGGACATAACTCGTAACAGCCACTGGTGGCGCTACAATCGATCCCAGGAATTAGTTCGGCAAGGGTGGAAACTGGACTTTTAAAGTCAGTTAACTCCATTGACTCGGGAAAATGCACTCATGGAGAACATTTAATTTTTAATATAATCTTTATTTCAAGAACAATCGACTAATGTGGTTATCTATTTGTTTGTTGTTTAACGCCGGCTGAATGAGACTGTAAATAATCGCCAAGGAAACAAGTGATTGATATTGTGAGCAATGTCCAAGGTATAGTCGGGACAAGATGATACCAGTCAATCAGGTCAACAACCCTGAACACCCGAACAAATCAACCGTCAAATAAGCTTGTGTTTGTGGACCAATTCTAATCCGCTATTACTTTGGGGTTTTGACTATTTGGCCTCATGGGGTGGTCACGTGATTGTATACAAACAAGCATGTTGAACACGTCTAGTTTTAGTACTCTTACCAGTCGCCGCAAATAGCTGAAAGATTGATGGGGCGTTGATAATCACTCACTATGAATTCTATAATCAGATATGTGATTGTCCGGCTACAGTTGTTTGTTTGTGTGTTGTTTAACGCCGCACTCAACAATATTCCATACAGACGTCGGCCTGTAAATTATCGAGTCTGGACCAGTCAATTCAATTTTTTCTGTATGATATGTTCATTTCAGAGACTATATGTTAGTCAAGTTCCTGAGTGGTGTGGAAATATGCGCAATATAAATAGCCTATTGTTATAATACTGTGAACAACGAACCACGGCGTCGGGTACGATGACATGCATCAACCAAGTTAAAGGGGTTTCATAATTCGTTCGTTCGTTTCTTGTTTAACTCCACACTCAGCAATATTCCAGCAATATGACGGTGGTCTGCAAAATAATCGATTCTGGACTAGACAATCCAGTGATGGACATCATCAGCATCGATCCACGCAGTTGGCATACGATGACATGCATCAACCAAGTTACCACCTGATCACCTGATGGAATCTAACACACAGCACTATATAGGTTGCTGCAAAATGAGAGTTAAAGGGGTTTCATAATTCGTTCGTTCGTTTATTGTTTAACGCCGCACTCAGCAATATTCCAGCTATATGACGTCGGTCTGTAAATAATAGAGTCTGGACCAGACAATCCAGTGATTGACATCATGAGCATCGATCCACGCAATTGGGATACGATGACATGCATCAACCAAGTCAGCGAGCCTGACCACACAATCCCGTTAGTCTCCTCTTACGACAAGCATATAGTCGCCTTTTACGGCAGGCATGGGTTGCTGAAGACCTATGCTACCCCGGATCTTCACGGGTCGGTTTCATGCAATTATTCAAGCAATATCATCCAGAATGGACTTAACACGTTGTGCCCATTCTTACACGTGAACGTTAAAAAACAGATGTAACTAGGAACGGCTTCCAGCAGGTGTAAATGTAAACTTTCTTCAGCAAATGTAACTATGAACGTCGTTCGGGTTAGGTTTTAATGTAAACGTACTTCAGCATATGTAAATATAAGAAGGTCAATCAGGCGTAAATTTAAACATTCTTCAGCAAATGCAACTACGAACATAGTTCAGGTTAGGTGTAAATGTTAACCTTCTTCAGCAAATGTAACTATGAACGTGGTTCAGGTTAGGTGTAAATTTAAACGTACTTCAGCAAATGCAACTATGAACGTGGTTCAGGTTAAGTGTAAATGTGAACTTTCTTCAGCAAATGCATTGAATCGAATAGAATAGATACCCTTGTGTGGCAGGGTACAAGCATGATGAATTTGGCAGATTTTAACAGGACATTATAGTGCTTATTTATACACACACGTACACACATACGACGAGATGTGAGATGTGACCTTGTTTTTGATACATATAGTTGTTCATATGAAGAAGATCGGTTTTAAAGCCTTATCGGTATGTTATCATTACTATATTACTACATTACTGCGCGTTTTCACACAGCCTCTGCCCGACAGCGAAACTATTTTTTTTTTATAGTTTGAACTTTTTTGGAAGAGCCCTGTTACATTCCGATGAGTGAATGAACGTTTTCACCCTGCAATCAGCAGTAATCCAGATATATGATGGCGAAGGCTTGTAAACTGTCGAACCTCGCGAGTGGTTGATATTATGAACAACGATTCCGACCGTCTGGTTACATGTGACCTGATCAAACAGGTTACACTCCCGCTGATCCTCATTTTAGTTGCCATGGAAGATTAATTTCACGTGTACTGGGGACCTATTCTCCCTTCTATCAACACTAAGATTTTGTGATCCATCGACTCCACACTTGGTTGTTTTAACGGATTTAAACGGAAGAGTGCTTATCGGCGTCAAACATTTTTTAAATTAAACATTGTTTTTAAATGTATAAACAGTCGTAAAGTGGAGACCAGGTGTTGCATCAAGGACATTTCGTTTTCGCGAGCACAAAACCTTTTTATTGCATGTATAAATATGGTAGCCAGTGGGTGAGTTGGATTCGAAGCAGCTTTATGTTTTATTACTTTTGACCCGGAAGACTAGACAAAATGCATTTATAAAAGACATTGCTCACCATTCACTGTTCATCGCAAAGAAAGGCATCTTATAATTACAACGATGACACATCAGTTTGGTCTCTTCAGCTGTCATTGTAAGTTGTAGATAGTTGTGTTGAAAATAGTCTCCACAAATGTCCGGGTCCGAGAAATGCTGCTTGATCACGTGACACAGTGCTATTACAGCAATCCCGTCAGACAACGTGAAACATGGCGGAGGCGGCAACATTTCAACCTGGGACTGGTGCTGCACCAGCTACCCTTGTGGAATTATCAGTGGCATGTCGGTATGTATGTTCTGTTTCACGTCAAGTCGATAACACCGAGGTACAAGTGGAAGACATCCACCTGCACTTCACATTTGACGATCGAAAGTCAGAAAATTCGTCTGCTTGAGGATTTGTTTACAAAATTATTGACACTGACTGACTGAGCCTAGATATCTAGTTGCATTTCAAATTATGTGCCATAAGAGGTCAGGTTTTGACAGCCCAAATGTAGTTATTAATTCTATTTGTTTTAAGACGTAGTTACAGAAGTTTCCAAATAGGTTGCTAATGTCAGACTCCAAAGAAAATTTCCATTTGATCACGTCACCTAATTTCGCAATGCACTTCCGTGTTATTGTTGTGAAACACTCTTGAAGCTGGTTCGTTGTGATGCAATGGCATATAGTGTGTGCCAAGAAGTAAGCACACTAATACAGAGAAATGACCCAACACTAACAAACTAGCTACTATATAGTGACGGCAGCACACCTGTGCCATGCAATTCAGAATATCATGTGGTTATGTCAGATTTCAACCTGTCACGGTCCTTTTTCGTCTACATGTCAGTCAGAAATCATGTTTGTACATAGTGAAGCTGTACTTTATTCCTTCTGGGAAGCTCATTACTCTCAGATTGATTTTGTTGTTGTTGATATAAGCACAGATGTGGATGTTATGTCAATGGTATTGTTTTGTACAGCTTCAAGGATGGAACATGTATCTAACCATGAGAGACTGGTCATTTATTATAGTAGGGGTTGGGGTTGTCAGAGGTTTTTGATGCACAAAAGTACTGCAAATAATTACCTTTTCCAATGCTTGTCATATTTTTGGATGACCCTTCCCAAGTGCTTGTAAATTATTTTCACGACCCTCCATGAAATGTCAAATTGCAAAAGCATGTTCTATTTTATTCTGTACGGTCCATTTTTTCATTTCCTCCCCAAATATGTTTATGAGTTTTTTTAGCCCTCTCCTAGAGACTGTCATATTTTGTTGTGACCCTTCCTGATTCACTCACATCATTACATACCTCCTTCAGGAAGAAACAGGGATCACATTCAATAAAGTATTTAAAACTGTTTCTGATTCTGTATTTACGAGACCGCCTCCGTGGTCTAGTGGTAGAACATCTGCCCAGAGAGCTGAAGGTCCGGGATTCGATCCCCGGCCGTATCATACCAAAAGACGTTAAAAGATGGTACTTGTTGTTACCCTGTCTGGCACTCGGCATTAAGGGGCTAAAACAAAGACTGGTCGGCTCGGAGTCAGTATACTGTGTCTGAGTAGGTTATTCATATTAAACTGCAACATGGTATCTCAGTGAGCTAGCACTTTAAATCGGCATCAGTCCGGACTAGTACAAGCAGCCACACAAACACACACACACGTACATGCACGTCGCTATATAAGTGCAGTAATCTTGGACGCGACGTTAAACCCCATTTCATCTCACCTCACCTGTATTTACGAGGTATATGAGGCACTTTAAAGCCCTTTAAACTAATGCTGCAATTGGGATGTGTTTTAATAATGACAGCTATTATTTGTTGAATCAGCTGCTTGGACTTACTCAATATTTGTAAAGCGCTGGGAATGTAAGTTGAGGGGTTCTTGTCATAATTATTATGTTGAAAAATGGTAACATTTGATATACAGTCTTGACAACTCTGGTTTTGTGATGATGCAACTGATAAATACATGTAGTCATGGTGATGCAAGTACATACCTGATAAAGCACTGCTTACTGTAAAGTTCCTTATTGAATAACTGTAGCGTTTTAGTATCATATAACCAGTCACTCGCTTTATCCATACGATGTCTCTATATAAATGAGTGCGCACGTGTAACAGCGCCGGAAGTGTGTGTGTTGTGCGCTAGCAGACCACATGGCTGCCGACTACACTTGACTGAGTGTATTGACATGTAATGAGAGAATACAACCTTTCCCTGGAAAGCCGAGTGTTTGTTGTAGCTGCCAAAGTCATCACAATAACCATTTCAAACCTAACCCTGTATTAGTTTCCTGATGAAATCTCTTATTTACAAAATTAACTTCACAAATTGAAATATAGAAACCGAAATAAAGTTAATTGTTCTTTGGACATGTTTTGCAACTGTTCTATCCCAGTAGTTATTTGTGTACTTTGTTTCATCTGCTGCCTTGCATCACATTACTCTGTTCTTGCAACCATCCAGGGCAGTGTTCTTGTTGACCTGTGAAGATCCGGGTAGAATTGGTCTTCAGCTACCCATGCTTGTTGTAAGAGGCGACTATTCTTGTCGTAACAGGTGACTAATGGTGTTGTTTGGTCAGGCTTGCTGACTTGGTTGATGTATGTCATTGACTCAGCGTATTCAAATTGAGTAGATCGATGCCTATGATGTCAATCACCAGATTGTCTGGTCCACTCTTGATTATTTACAGACTGCCGTCATATGGCTGAGTACGGTGTTAAACAGCAAAGACAATGTTCTTGTCCCAACATATCAGCAGGTATTGGTCAGTGCTACAGATAATTTTTTAAGGTATATACTCCTTGTTCTTGATCTAATTGGATATTTGCATTTTCATTGAGTAACCCATTAACCGGTGTCCTACCTCGGGTCTGGCAGAAGATAACGTCTACCAGTCACGTCACACTGCTTTTGGTCTTGCCCTATTGGCCAACTCGGAGTTGGTTCGCCATGATCATCCAACTTGCAGACAGACGATTTCATGGTCTACCACTAAGGGTCGACGTTCTTCTTTAACATCACACCCAGCTGCACCACCCGTGACCTTAACCCACAATTTGTGCTTCTGGTGCATTACAGAAATCCTTTGTTGCCAAGGGTTACTCCAGAAGGGTAGTCAAGACCATTTCAGAGGATCATAGATCGTCAACAAAGTCCTTGTACGGCCATATGTGGAAGGCTTTTGAGATCTACTTACACGCGTGTGATAGCACACTCACCTGCTTCTTCACAACAAATTGCTGAATACCGTCATCATCTCCGGTTGTCACGTTAGCTTAAGGATTCTACCTTAGCTACGTATCTTGCTGAGTTCAATTCTGTTGTCGCTACTACAACAGGTGCAAGGTCTCTGTGGGTAATGAACTACAATCCTTAATTTAGTCTTACAAGTCATCTCGGCTCTGACCACAACCCTGGTATCTTAACGTCATACTGCGTCATCTAACTTCTACTGATTGCGAACCACTTGCCGACACTTAAAGCTGTCTTTCTTCTGGCTCTTGTGACAGCTGCTCCAGTGATTGAGATTCATGCATTAGACGTCAACAGAGTTTGCTTCGAATGTACTCTGCATGGGCTTGCGATCAGATTTCATTGCCAAAAATCAATTTCCCGGTCAACCTGATCAGTTATTTAATATCCCGCCTGAGAAGTCCATCTTGAATCCTGTGTCCCCTATGCACGCTTCTGATATATCTTGATGCAGAAAAATCTCTTCGAGTTCCCGTGAGTTGTTATGGAAGTTTCCCGTGCCATGATTTTGTTTGGGATTCATTTGGTTAATAATAATATCTATGCTTTTGCTGACCTTCCTGCTCTAGTTGCTTCCAACCCTCATGAAATTCGCACTGTCTCCTCTAATATGGCTTTACACAATCATTGCACTTCGGCTGCAATTATGGAAGAATGTTTCTGGAAATCTGAGATGGTTTTCACGTCCCACTACCTCTGAGACATCTCTGTGACTGACGTCAAAGGCCCGCATCATTTTGGGCCATTGGTACTGGCACAGCAAATCTCCAGGACAATGTGCAGGTTGGGTGACATGTTTACCCGATCCAGTTCCTTGTATCTCTAGACACAGTTAACCTTGGCATGATTCTTCGAGTTTATTATTTTTCGGGTTCTCTCAAAATATATAAGGATATGAGTAGCCGATTCAGGATAAGGATATAAATGCACAATTTGTTGTAAAATTTACAATTTTACTTTTACATTTTCTCTACCTTAGAAAATTGTAAATACCTGCGGACTAAACGTTTATAATATAATTTGTTCAAATGCTATGCATATTTCAGGAAAACCTGTGTCGTCTAATAGGATCACCAAACAAGAATGATAAAAGAATGATAAATGGTACAGGAACAGTTTCTATGATAAAAGGTTGATCTATTTCAGTTCCTAAAGGATTTAAATCTTGTGGCATTCCGTACACAAACAGTTAATGATCAATATGGAGGTAAATATTACAAGTATTCGGGGGAAAAAACCTGTTCGCATGTTAGACGAGGAAAGAAAACAAGTTATTATTGTCATGGTGAAAATTGGTTTGGGATAACCTAAACAGAAACTACTTACCACAGTTCAGAAAATATTAACAGTAGGGCTGGGACGGGTAACTCGGGTATCCAGGTCGGGTGGGTACTGAGTAGGACCCGGGTACCCACAGGACTACCCGGACTCGTGGTTAGTCACGTGATATGAGCTGTGCTAGAAATGTTCCTACTCAGACATTTTGAGACATCTCCTGAGACCTACAGTGGGTACCCGGGTAGTGCCAGGTAATAGGGGGGTGGGTACCCGGGTAGTAAATTTGGACTCGTCCCAGCCCTAATTAACAGTGATTAACAGAAGATGACCTAGACAGTCCATTAGTTGATAGGCATTCTACTCATGTGACCATGACAACTTCTGAAATTTGTAGGGAAACTGGAGGCTATTGCTCACAAGAGCATGATTCGCATCAGATACAGCCTCTAAATTTGTGACCATTAAAGGGAACATGGCAGCAGTTTGTGCGAAACTTTCAAAAAGAACCTGTTGGTGATTACGTGATAAAGCAATCTATGACCGGTCCCCACCTCCTGGTCCTCACCTCCTTGTCCTCACCTCCCAGTCCTCACCTCCTGGTGCTTACCTCCTGGACCTCACCTCCTTGTCCTCACCTCCCGGTCCTCACCTCCTGGTGCTTACCTCCCGGTCCTCACCTCCCGGTCCTCACCTCCTGGTCCTCACCTCCTGGTGCTTACCTCCTGGACCTCACCTCCTGGTCCTCACCTCCTGGTGCTTACCTCCTGGACCTCACCTCCTGGTCCTCACCTCCCGGTCCTCACCTCCTGGTCCTCACCTCCCGGTCCTCACAAATGAAGCCACTGGTGACCCTGCTGCATCAGCTACTGGTACCCAGCCGGTGTCAACAGTTCCTTTTGTTTCTTTTTCCTGGGTGGCACAGGGGTCTAATGTTTCTCATCATCTTGCGAGTCATTTTAAACCTGCGGATCTAGTTGTTGTTTTTTTCCCGGTTTTGAATTCAGCCATTCCCAATTTCCCGCACTTTAAATTTTAGTCTTCAATTCATGTTGTACTTCCTTTACTGTGTGACCACCATGTTGTATTCATTCACACCAATGAATGGAACTCATTTTGGAAGAATGATTACACAGAATGATTAGTATTTCCCCGAGTTTTAAATAGCACACTTTTGTATTGGGCCGTGTTGAGTCTTTAAGGCTCTCTGCCATGATACACTATGTTTTGTGTTGTTTGTTTGTTTGTTGTTTAATGGTGCACTCAGCAATATTCCAGCTACAGGTCAGCAGTCTGTAAATTATCAAGTCTGGACCAGACAATCAAGTAATTGGTATTATGAGCCATCATCTACGCAAATGGGATACAATGACATGCATCTACCAAGTCTGCTAGCCTGACCACTCGATCCCGTTAGTCACCTCTTATGACAAGCATGAGTTGCTGAAGACGTATTCTAACTCGGGTCTTCATGGGTCGGTACACTATGTACAAAACTATTACAGCTTGGTTGTTTTCAAGTTCATAGAAATACTTTCAACACTTTCCTTGTAATTTAATACTCACTCTTACTTTTCACTCACTGTTTGAAATCAAGACCATGTACACAAGGATGTGGTTACAAAGGAAGAAGAAAGCCAGGTCACATGCCATTTTTAAAAACTGGAATTCAGGAGAAAACTTTTCTTTTTTTGTTGTCTTCGAAGCAGAAGCAAAGCAAAAGAACGATCGGGAACTGAAAAAGAAAGAGAGGAAACAGAATGAAGAGACAAAATTGTCAAAGAAACCTGAACAAGAAACAAAGAAAAGGGAGAAAGAATTTAAAAGGAATGACAGTGGGACATCTGATGAAGTAGTGTTTTCTGTGGATGACAATTCAGATAATGTCTAGGCTGACAGAGGATTGGATTGGGTCTTACTAATATCCTCCGTGGTCAGGTCTCAAAGTTGCGACTAAAATGTCTACTATCTAAAATTCAGATAATGTCTATAGCGATGACATGATGACAGGATTGGATTGGGTCTAACCACTGTCCTCCGTGGTTCCCCAAAACTTGTGTGGATGCAACTTTTGTTTTAATGACTGATAATAGAAAATAAGAAAAAGATGGTGCTTAACATTTTTCCAGATGAGTATTTGAAATACTATCAACTGACTATGCTATGTTTTATTGTTTAACAAAATGGTTTATTTTTGGCGCATGCTTTTCAAATTCCAACTGATAAATTCCCCTTCCCACACACAGTTCCCTGACATACCCTTCAATTCATTTACATCCCGGAACTCTTGTGACATCTGTAACCACACATGATCCCCGGGGCGGTCGGGTAGCCTAGTGGTTTAAGCGTTAGCTCGTCACGCCGAAGACCCGGGTTCGATTCCCGACATGGGTACAATGTGTGAAGCCCATTTCTGGTGTCCCCCGCCGTGATATTGCTGGAATATTGCTAAAAGCGGCGTAAAACCATACTCACTCACTCACATGATCCCCATTGTTATCCCCAACCCAATTCTGTTATAATCACATGATAATTGTCACCCAGTGTTCCCACTGGCTTTTGAAACTGCCAGTCATGGTGGACTGGCAACTCTAAAAATTACCAGTCCCCACTGATTCCCAACTTTCAACAAATATAAAATGTATGAAAATTAGCTGGTTTTAATTCTCTCAACATCATGTTCAGTGCAATGAGTCATCTCTGAAATAACTTAGATCAATGTGTCATTCATACAAACTTCAGTCACAATTTTCTCTCTCTTTTTTTAATATTTCGAGACAAAGTCACTACAAATGGATATTTAACCTCGAAGCAAAGTGAAATGTTATTTCCTTGCGCTAAAAAAGACAAGGGGATGACCTGATGGTAACAGACAAGCTGACTTCTTTAAAAAAATATATTTCTATGAATATCACTGATGTTTTGTTCAATAACAAAGATTTATAAGGATCTTTATTTGCCGGCCCAGAGGGACTGGCAGTCACCTGAATTACCAGGCCAAGCCTAAATTTACCGGTAAAAAACTGGTAAATACCGGTAAACGGGAACACTGTCACCTAACACAATGTAAATACGAGTAAAATATAGGTCAGCCTCAGAGCCTCTTGGCTCTTTTTCTGTAAGGTGGACATGTTGATTATGTTTCTGGTGCTAATTTGAAACCATTCATATTTCTTCTGCCTGTTGAGTCAGTCTGTTAAATCATCAAATTCAGGGGTACTATGAAGTCTGCATCATGTGGTTGGTTATTAAGAAGTCTTGTGTCCCTGCTAATTACCCAGAAGATACTTCTATCCAGAATCATGCATATTCCGCTGACAATACTGCATCATCTAGCAAGGTTTACATGTCAGTCTTTGACCAATCAAGTCATAACTTTGGCTGAGCAGGGGTCAGGATCGGGGGAACAGTTTGGGGCACTCGAGTTTCTGAACAAATACCTTATCATCCAATTTAGGATCACTCTAGTTTCTGAACAAATATCTAATCATGCCTTATTTTGTTTTCAGGAAACTGATAGATGCTGATGTATTTTCGAAGTCAGATCCAAGTAAGTTTAACTGATTATTACCATTATTATCCCCTGCCACAAAGTGGAAGGGGGATATAGGAATGGGTGCTGCCCGTCCATCCATCCATCCGTTACGTTTCGTTTCCAGACCAGAACTCAAAAACCACGAGAGATATCTTAACCAAACTTTGCACATAGATAGGTCAAGTGGTGAACTGGTGCCTTTGATAGTTTGGGATTTAAAAAAAATCTATTTCCATGGCAACAACTTTGACTAAGACGGAAAATAGCAGTAGTGCTCCATTCCAGAGCTAGTCTCGAAAACCATACAGTGTTTCTTGCCTTGCACACAACTAAACATGTCACATTGGCGGGGGATATGAATATTTCATGCTTGTTTAGAGAAAAACTGACGAGGTACTCAAGGTTACAGATTATATGTTACTTGAAATTACTAGTGTCCACTGTCCAGTAGGTTATTTTTATTATTACCCAAATAGTGTTTGTCAACTGTTAGAGAGGCGAACCCCTTTGCCATCACCTCTTATACACAGTACAGTAGAACACGGATATAACGAACACGGATATAGCGAACAAACGGATACAACGAAGTGTTAAAAAATCCCCGATTTATCTCCTATATAATATCATATAAAATTTACGTATATAACAAACTCTCTATAGCGAACTAACGGATACAGCGAACTGATACCTGATCACCGACAAGCCCATTTATCACTTATTAGCGACGTGTATAGCGAACTGAGAAATCTCACTCAGTGTCAAGTGTTACTGACAATTGGCTGTATGCAATCAGCGGCGAATCAAAACAATGGCGGTGAATCAATACAATCAGTGGTGACGGATCAACCTTGTTAAATTTGCATTGTGTTAATCTTACCTGTACATGTAATCTTGTCTGTAAAACAAACAGTTTTTGACAGTTTGGCGGATCTGAACGATGCCGTTTCAAGAATGCAGTCAGCGAAACGAGGGCAAAGTAAAATCACAGACTACACATTTCGTATGTAAATCGAAAAATGATAAATATGTTTAAATTTTGTACATGTATTTGATAACAATCTTCAGAAAATGTTATGAATTTAATGTTATTACATGAATGTTGTAAATTGATATCAGTTGAATGATCACTGCTAATACAAATCAATCCTGCAGTTACGTGTGTATTTTGTTTTGTCTTATCCAAGATGGCGGACGTTTCCGAGCGAAAACGTGTATAACGAACAACTGATATAACGAACTGATTTCTCTGGTCCCTAGTAGTTCGTTATATCCGTGTTCTACTGTATATCTTCTCACTTACGTACGAGGCTGATGAGCACATAGGCTTGTAAATAATGTAATTGCAAATAAACAAAACACAGAACTGCAAATAATCCTGTTTGACCATACAATACATAAACACTTGAGGATGATATATAAGAAATACATTGCCCTTAGTAGGCTTACTGTTATTGTGTTAGTCCTTCAGCAAACCCATGTTTGCCATAAAAGGTGACTGTGCTTGTTGTATGAGGCCACTAAACGGATCGGGTGATCAGACTCGCTGACTTGGTTAATGCATGTCATTGTATCCCAATTGTGTGGATTGATGCTCGTGATGTCAATCACTGGATTGTCTGGTCAAGACTTGATTATTTACAGACCGCCGTCATATAGCTGGAATATTGCAGAGTGTGGCGTTAAACAAACAAACAAACAAACAGTGAAACTAAAACAGAATTATGACTACCAAAACTGTTAAGGTGGATTTTGGACAGGTTCCAAGCAGCGTGCATTACCCGGGGTATATTATGTTTCAAGAATCTAATGTCGGTGTCAACACCAGTGAATTACAGCAGTTTGGACTTGAATAAATACAATTTCGTAGTACACATGAAAGTGATCTGACGTGACCAGTTTTGGACAGCCTTACAGCCTATGAGTGACAGGCGATGTGTTCGTATAGGGACACTGGCACTATCATTTGATGACAGTCATTTAATTTGGGATTATGTGATGCAATGCTGTGAGGACTGTTCTGTCATTTCACCAAAATGTCATGAAAAGAGTCACGGAAATAGATCGGTTATAGCAGTGTGATAATGTACTGGCATGGGGTATCCATCTAAAAGAATTGTGGCAAGGGGTTCTCAGTGGGCTAGTCCGGGGTCTTTCAAGCAGCCAAACATACAAACGTATATGCACATCGCTATATAAGTGCAATAATCTTTAGCATGACATAAAGCCCCATGTCACCTCATCTCACCTTCAGCGTGACAAGCAAATACTGCTGAGGTACACCATAGCCCCTACAATGCATACCGGTACACAACTATCAGTCTTCCCCAACATGCCCAAGGGAAAATCATGACACTGTCTGAAATGATTTTTGCTCCAAAAAAAACTCCCTTCTTTACTGTTGGCCTTACTAGAGGTGGGGAATGTTAGATCACAGGGCCTCAAGTTACATGTTTTGTTATTTCAGTCAGTGTGTCAGGTCACAGTGACACAACTCCTGTCATCACTGCTGTAATCCCTGTATACTGTGCCATATATACGTGGCAAGCCAACTAGGGACCTGTATTGCTCAGGTCTAATGTTGTAACCTCTATCTATGGAGTATATGGCCCATTACGACTTCATATTATTTTTTCAGTATGTTAATGCTAACACTTTTATGTTTAATGGAGTGGACGTTGTCACGCTTTGTCCTCCGTCTTTTCGTTCTTTCTGTGGCAAGAAATGTTAACAAAGAAATATTTTTTAGGGGAAAAATCTATATGCTAAGTGAACCTTTCCGTTTTAGCCCACCAGACTGAAAGTCAAGTGAACTTCTGTTGTGGCACATTGTCCATATGTCCATTTGTTTGTTCGTCTGTCGACGTCTCCTCTGAGACTGTAGCGGCCATATTGAAAATGTCATTTTTGGCCACAACTCTACAACTCATACTCTGTTAGACCTCTTGACAAACGTGCACCTTTGGCATTGAAAACCGTGCAGGTCAAGTCCAACGACAGTGGTACTCAGATGAGATTTGCACTGCTAAACCGAAACGACATGCATCTGAATGAATGTGGCGGAAAACCTTACTGACTGTTCATAGAGAAATATACAAGCCAGAAATGATGTTGTCAGACTTATACAAAAGACAAAGAAAGCTAACCACATAAAAGAATCCATGCGAATCTAGATGAACCCCAAGGCATTGTGGTCGCAAATGTTCACGCTACTCGATTATGTTCTTCCCAAGACAAAATGTGACCTAGTCTAGCAACATCTTTCAAGAACTTTTTTATGGACAAGACCACCAACTTTATGCCATGCACTGATGAGTCGCCTAATTCTGACAGATTCAGTGGATCAAAGCTACAGCAATTCAAACCAGTTACTACGTCTCTGTTGAAAAAAACGACCTTGGACTGAGATTTACTCAAAAATTATAGACCAGTTTCAAATTTATATTTTTATCCATACTACTATAAAAGTGGTCAGCAAACAATATCTTAAAAATCACTAGCTCCTCACTGAGTTTTTATCGGCACACGGCACGGAAACCGCTTTACTTCCTGTCCTCAACAATCTTCAGACTGCTGTGGACGATGGAAGAAAAGCAATTATTATATCGGTCATCATCAGAGGTTCCAATTCTGGTCAGATCAATCTGGATTACAGAGTTCCACAAGGATCAGTGCTCGGGCCTATACTGTTTACTCTCTACACCAAACAGCTCGAAGAAGTTGTTCAGGCATGCAGGGCGCTACACCATTTGAACGCTGGCGACACCCAGTTTATAGACATCTTCTGTCCAGACAGCAACAAGGCAACCGCTCTGAACAAACTTGAGCATTTCATTAAAGACCTCAAAGCCTAGATGAACAGAAACATGCTGCAGCTGAATGTAATGGTTGTTGGTAATGGTTGTTGGTAATGGTTGTTGGTAATGGTTGTTGGTAATGGTTGTTGGTAATGCATGTTGGTAATCTTGTTGGTAATGTGTGTTGGTAATGCGTGTTTGTAATGCGTGTTGGTAATGCGTGTTTGTAATCTTGTTGGTAATGCGTGTTGGTAATGCGTGTTGGTAATGCGTGTTGGTAATGCATGTTGGTAATCCTTGTTGGTAATCTTGTTGGTAATGCGTGTTGGTAATGCGTGTTGGTAATGCTTGTTGGTAATCCTTGTTGGTAATCTTGTTGGTAATGCGTGTTGGTAATCTTGTTGGTAATGCATGTTGGTAATGCGTGTTGGTAATGCTTGTTGGTAATCCTTGTTGGTAATGCGTGTTGGTAATCTTGTTGGTAATGGTTGTTGGTAATGCGTGTTGGTTATGCTTGTTGGTAATCCTTGTTGGTAATGCGTGTTGGTAATGCGTGTTGGTAATCCTTGTTGGTAATGCGTGTTCATAATGATTGTTGGTAATGCGTGTTGGTAATGCTTGTTGGTAATGCTTGTTGGTCATGCTTGTTGGTCATGCTTGTTGGTAATACTTGTTGGGCCAGCCTCACATTGGCAAAGCTGACTACGAAGTGATGTCACTTGAGGGGGAACATGTCCGTTTTCCACCTTCAGTCAAGAATCTCGGTATGTACTTACTGTCAGACCTGTCAAGGAATAAGGCAAGTCGCTGAAGTTCGCTAATCATGCTATAATAATCTTCGGAACATCGGAACAAACTGACTGAAGACACATCAGCAGCATTTAAGAGAGCACTCATACTATCGCGACTGGACCTATTGCAACAGCTTCTGAACATCATCTCATAGGGAATAGATCCAACGACTCCAGCCCATCCAGAACAAAGCTGCCTGCATTGGCACCAAAACACTGAAGTTTGACAGCATCACACCTGCACTACAGTGCCTTCACTGACTCTCAGTAAGTGCATGAGTGGAATTCAGTGTCTTGTGTCTTGTGTCTTGCCTACCATTGCAGTAAAAAAATAGCCCCATCCTATCTGATCAAACTTTTCAAGCCTAATTGTCCCTCAAGAAATCTCGATCAAGCCATGAAAACCTGCTAGATGTCCCCAAATGGAAGCTGAAAACCTATAGCATGTATAGTTATCGATCCTTCAAAATATCTGCTGCTTCCAAACGGAACGCTCTACCATTGCATCTGAAAACAGCTTCAACACTTGCTATTTGCAGAAGTAAGCTAAAGACGCACCTATTCCAGTCTTTCAACAAAAACTGTCTATCATTAGCATTTATGTGTAATCTCTAATCTAACTATTAAAGCGATAGACATGGCTGTGATCTATTGTGTAATATGGACACAGATACAAGCGATCACCCTGCTACATTTTAAGTATCAGTATGATCTCTAAAAATAGATCTAAGACTATGTACACCTGTGTTTTGAACAGCCATATTGATAGTGATTTGTCGCATTGTAACAAGACGTGTGATCTCTTCAAAGCTGCCGTCTTGACAGTGCAAACATCCGACATTGGGTCCACGTGATGTACTGTACACCTGTCATAACAGTCCATCATCATTCAGAAGTTTGGTGCCCGTGTTATGATGACAGGGAAGAGTAAAATGGTCATATTAATACATATTTTGTGAATAGGTTTCGAAGTTTAATTTACTCTTTTAGTTTAATGCTGACCTGAAAGAATTAAAGTACGCCTAAACATGGCTGTTCATTCATGGAAATCCTGCAAAAGTACAAACCAGCAGGTGTTCCAAAACAAGGGACGTCACTCGAGTGCAGCGAACGTTTACAGACAAGGCAATGGCGATCACGACTTTTGACGATGATTTTGGGACTAAACTCCTTGTTTAATCAATGAAGATAGCTGCATGTGTTATACATATGAAGTGAAAACAAGCCATTCCACCAATAAGGAATATTACTGACAGTAATCACAAAAATAGCAAAGTGCACATTTCACGTTCTATCCATTTTGCTTCTCAAGAACTATCCACCACTGAGCTTTGATTCGGCAGTCAGGTGACTGCTAATGGTTATATTTAGCAGTGAGCTTGGTCAGTAGTGCTTTAAATACTACTTCTGCATGTTTTTTTCTTTCAGTTTGTGCTGGTAATGTACATACACTGCAAACGCTGCACAGGCTGCTAGATATATCTATATAGTATATACCGGAGAATGGAACAACTGTGTAACTGTTGTGTGTTACTGTGTTTCAGTGTGTGTGTTGTTCATTCAAGATGGAAGGAAGGCCTGGAAAGAGGTGAGTGTGCCCAACATCATGCTGTTTGTACCCTGTCCTTGTACAGCTGACTAACTGTACGCAGTTTGTGCAATCTTGTTAAAGTCGCATCTCAGTTCTCACTAACGCTAAGCAAAGATCTGAGGACATCCCATTACGGCGCATGTCGGAACGAGAATTCATCATTTGCAAATCAGAAAGCAGCTTTATTGAGCTTTATGGTGCTTGTTTCAAACTTGCAACTTCTGTACAGTGGTGCTGCCGCCTCACTGTGTGCTGTTTGTTGATCTGCTCCCTCCCTGTACAGTTTGTAGTACACCTGCCATCTGTACCCTGTTGGTGGATCTACTCCCTCACTGTACAGTTTGTAGTGCACCTGCCATCTGTACCCTGTTGGTGGATCTGTTCCCTCACTGTACAGTTTGTAGTGCACCTGCCATCTGTACCATGTTGGTGGATCTGTTCCCTCACTGTACAGTTTGTAGTGCACCTGCCATCTGTACCCTGATGGTGGATCTGTTCCCTCACTGTACAGTTTATAGTGCACCTGTCCATCTGTACCCTGTTGGTGGATCTGTTCCCTCACTGTACAGTTTGTAGTGCACCTGCCTAACCCCACCCTGTTTGTTGATCTGCTCCCTCACTGTACAGTTTGTAGTGCACCTGCCATCTGTACCCTGTTGGTCGATCTGCTACCTCACTGTACAGTTTGTAGTGCACCTGCCCATCTGTACCCTGTTGGTGGATCTGCTCCCTCACTGTACAGTTTATATTGCACCTGCCCGTCCCCACTCTGTTTGTTGATCTACACCCTCACTGTACAGTTTATATTGCACCTGCCTAACCCCACCCTGTTTGTCGATCTGCTCCCTCACTGTACAGTTTGTAGTGCACCTGCCATCTGTACCCTGTTGGTGGATCTGCTCCCTCACTGTACAGTTTATAGTGCACCTGCCCATCTGTACCCTGTTGGTGGATCTGCTCCCTCACTGTACAGTTTGTAGTGCACCTGCCATCTGTACCCTGTTGGTGGATCTGCTCCCTCACTGTACAGTTTATAGTGCACCTGCCATCTGTACCCTTTTGGTTGATCTGCTCCCTCACTGTACAGTTTATATTGCACCTGCCATCTGTACCCTGTTGGTGGATCTGCTCCCTCACTGTACAGTTTATAGTGCACCTGCCATCTGTACCCTGATGGTGGATCTGTTCCCTCACTGTACAGTTTATATTGCACCTGCCATCTGTACCCTGTTGGTGGATCTGCTCCCTCACTCTACAGTTAATCGTGCACCTACCATCTGTACCGTTTGTTGATCTGCTCCCTCACTGTACAGTTTATATTGCACCTGCCATCTGTACCCTGTTGGTGGATCTGCTCCCTCACTGTACAGTTTATATTGCACCTGCCATCTGTACCCTGTTGGTGGATCTGTTCCCTCACTGTACAGTTTATATTGCACCTGCCATCTGTACCCTGTTGGTGGATCTGCTCCCTCACTGTACAGTTCATAGTGCACCTGCCCGTCCCCACCCTGTTTGTCAATCTGCTGCCTAACCATTGCTAACTGTACAGTATGTGTACCCACCCCCACCCACATTGTCATATGGTCATTGACCGACAGCTGTGGCCTACAGTCAGTCTCACTCGTCCTGGAGTCATCAGTAACCTACAATGTGGAAGTGATGAAGCAGCATCTTCAGCTCCTCGTTATCTATGTCCAGCATCTTCAGCTCCTCGTTATCTATGTCCATGCTAGAAGTATCAGATCAACATTTTTAAGTGGGACGATGCTCACAATATCAATCACTTAATTGTCTGGTCCAAAATTGATTATGTACAGGGTGCCGTCATATCCCTGCTGTTGGAATATTGTTGAGTATGGGCATTGTACAACAAATAAAGAAAATGTTCTTTGCCATAATATATTAGCTATGACAAGAAATTTCTATGGCATATGTGGAGCTCAACACTTAAAATTTGTGGTCACAAAACCCACAAAAGATGTCCTCTACAAATATGCCTGTGGTGTATCCTCCTCCTCCTCTGTTTATGTAACAGAGACATAATTGTGTTTCAGTTTGGACGAACAGAAATTGTGTGGAATAACCTGAACCCAGACTTCGTCCACAAGTTTGTCATGCAGTATTACTTTGAGCAGTCACAGAAACTCAAGTTTGAAATGTGAGAACTTTCATGAAACTTGGTATCTAGCTGGTGTTGGTATGAGTTTGCCAAAGAAGAAAGTGTTATTTTAAACAAGATCATATTTGGGTTTAAGATTCCTATTTTTGAGCTTTTGCAAAATAATGTCATGAAACAGGGATACTGTATTTATATAACAGAACTGTTAGATTTGAGAAATTTAGAACATCACGGTTTGTTTGTATATCTAATTCTGTGACAGGATTTGGTAAAATATTCATGATACAGTGTAGAAATTAAACTGTTCTTTCTTCAAAATGGATTGCTCCTTGTCAGGATGTTTTGAAATTCACTGTATTTGAACATGTGAACTTTCTCTTATTTGAAAAACCCTGCACTGTTCTATTTTCCCTATTTGAGCCTACATTAACATCCTGCAATAACCATGGTGATAAAGTCACCGGTACAATGCTTTAATGCCATGTTTGTGTTTTCTTCAGCTATGATGTGGACTCGGCCAGTGCAGATCTCAAGAAGCATGTATGTACATCTGCTATTCCTATAAATTTGTAATATATCTGTGTTATCATGGGTCATATCACACCCGGGGCGGTAGGGTAGCCTAGTGGTTAAAGTGTTCGCTCATCACGCCTAAGACATGTGTTTGATTACTCACATGGGTACAATGTGTGGGCCCATTTCTGGGGTCCCCCGCCGTGTTTTTGGTGGAATATTGCTAAAAAGCGGTGTAAAACCATACTCACTCACTTACTCATGGCCCAGTAGGCTCACTGGTCGGCTCGTCAGTACCAATCCCACTGAATTCACTAAAGTGACTTCATCATATTACAGCATTACAGACCCGTGAACATCCGGGGTGTTCAGCAACCCATGCTTGTCGTAATTGGTGACTAACAGGATCGGGTGGTCAGGCTTTCTGACCTGGTTGTGATGCATGTCGCCGTATCCCAATTGCGTGAATCGATGCTCATGATATCAATCACTGGATTGTCTGGTCCAGACTCGATTATTTACAGACCGCCGTCATATAGCAGGAATATTGCTGAGTGTGGCGTTAAATAACAAACAAACAAACCAACCAACTGCGTTACAGAGCAGCTTTGAACCCAACTCCCTCCCTCCCTCGTGTTGGGATAGATGGGTGGCTGTGATGATGTCCCTGACAGTTGTTGTCTGGAATTGCTTGGGTGTCTGAACCAACCAGGGCATTGTTCCTCAAAGTAATCTTCGTAGTTGATTGTCGTAAGTCTGTGTTAAAGTATGGGAGATAGGATTGGCTTAGCACAAAGATCTCTTTGTGGAATGGTGCCTTAGTTTCACTGTAATGCATCTAAAGAAATGTGGTTTTTTTTGCATTTCATTTGATGTTTGACCTTGTAGAAATGATTTGAATTTTGATAAGTTTCTTGAATCTTGTGACATGTCTTGTGAACAATTTGGTTGCCAGTATTGGATGGGTTTTGAAATGTATTACCTGTTTCTAGCTCTGCTTGTCACAGATAGCTGTACAAATTGGTCATAATTAAGTATTTTCAAAGATCGACCGTAGGTTTTTTGTGACTGAGGCAGATTCAATTTGTCAGAAGTCCCTAGGATGATAGATATATGGATTAAAAGTGTAGTTGTAATTTCAACTTGATCATGGCTGGACTACTGTTCTCATGCTACTTTCTGATTGGTTACTCAAATAACATAATTTGCAGCACAAAGTTGAGTTTAAGTTCTATTGTTGTTGACAGGACTTTCTGGGCAGATTTGAATGTAGTCTTGGGGAGATTGTCTCTTCCAACCGTCTCGTCAAGAATCTCATGTAAGTATCTGGAGACAGTTGAAACTCAACTGAGGTGAGGTGAAATGGGGTTTAACTTTGCGTCCAAGATTATTGCACTTATATAATTTCAACATGAATACCCAACTCAGACACAGTACACAGACTCCGAGCCGACCAGTCCTTGTTTCAGCCCCTCACTGTCGAGTGCCAGGCAAGGTAACAACAAGTACCATCTTTTAACGTCTTTTGGTATGACATGGCCGGGGATCGAACCCCGAATCTTTTGCTTTATGGGCGGAAGCTCTACCACTAGACCACAGAGGCGGTTGAAATTCAACTGACATTTGATAACCCCAGAGTGATGACATATGGTCTTTCTATTCCAAAGTCTAATTGATAAAGAACCGCCTCTGTGGTCTAGTTTATAGAGCGTCTGCCCAGAGAGTGGAAGGTTTGGTGGCATGCACGTCGCAATATGAGTGCAATAATTTTGGATGTGACGTTAAACCCCATTTTACCTCACCTCACAGTAATAAAGATGGATCGATATGTCAATAATTTCCGTACAATTCAACAATATCACAAAACAATAAAATAGCCATACTAGATGCATTTCCTGGTAATATCAGTAACAATGACGTATTTTATCTATATTCATTCATGTTATTAGAATAACCTAACAGAATATATTCCAACATATATAACACAAAGCCTACTGCAGCACAATATACTGTGTTCAATGTAATAAGCTTCGCTCTAATAACTGCCCACAGCGATATTTGCTAATATATTGGCTTGGAAAAGGTTCGCCAAAAAGCACCCCTTTCGATTGATCAATGTACAGAAGACTTACTTATTAGTTTATAATACGCACTCATGTGTTATATGCACCCTTAATTAAGGGCAATTAAATTCTGGAAAATATATCTGTCTTGTATGATAGGCACATACTTTTCTTTTGTATCATTTCAGGCTGTCAGCATAAACTACGAAATTTACAATCTTTCTTTGGGGTTTTTTCTCACCAAAATTATATTCTAATAAGAGCCCCCTATTTCTAATTTTGAGAGTGCCCCAGACGCTTATTACGTCAAATACGGCATCACAATATCACTTGAACTGGCACTACTCATCCCTCATTAGCTGATCTGTCACTGCCTGCAGGTGCATCCAGGATCTCCTTCGTAACAAGTATTTTGTTTAATAAAATCAGCCTTGTATTAGAACCATATTGTACCCTTACTGGAGTTTTTAAATACTGAAAAGTAAACTAAATATTCTTTTGTTGCATTTTAACCCTGTAGAGACCCAGGCATTTATGCAGAAGGGTGAGTGTGTTTGTCCACCTCCGTATCCTCCATACTGTTGGTTTCATCATTAAATGTGAATGAAATGTGTACATGAAACATAGTTATAGGGATGCTTTCTGCATTGTAGAAGTCTCTGACTACTTTCTAGTACCTTATACTAAGTCATATTGTCAAATCTCTTGCTTAACTCCTTAGAAAACAGAATAGTTTAGATTTACCAATATTGTACTAAACTCTTTCTGTCCTACATCATATTGATATTAGATTTTCCCTAATCTATATTACCTGAATGTTGTGTCAAACTCTATTGAAAGAATAGTTAGTTTGCTAGAGAGACAGTGATGGAGATGATCTGCATCAACTATTAATTGTCCGAACATTTCTTCTCCCTCCTCCTGATTGACCTTTCCCAATATACAGTCAAGTCTCGTTAATCTGACAATTGGCTTTATTCGACACAAATGAGGGGAACCAATTAAATCAGTGCTATTTAGACCCTTCAATCCGACAGTCTTTCATTCCGACTCCAACAAACTAATTTGCAACGGATTACCGAAATTAGTCTTGTTAATCCGACACAGTGATCAACATACTCCGTGGTCACCTGCCCGCGAGTAAACAGCCCGTGTTTTGATGTGAGACAACAAATTACCGAAATCACTCATTAATCAGTCTTGTTAATCCGACACAGTGATCAACATACTCCGTGGTCACCTGCCCGCGAGTAAACAGCCCGTGTTTTGATGCGAGACAACAAATTACCGAAATCACTCATTTGATGCGAGACAACAAATTTGTCAGTCTAAATAACCAAACCAACCACAGTTGACACTTCACTTCTTTATTCTTCTTTTTCTTCACATCCACCTACACAAACCAACCTGTCGCAGACGATATAATATCAACATTGTGTTTTCTTTCATAAAGATGTTCAGATGTGACCCTTGGTATTGACATGTGCTGATGATATGAACAAGAGCAACACTTTGATCTGTCTGTAAATGTCATTTTACCATGAGCTAGTTTGACCTTTCCTTTCATTGAAAATAAGAATACCCTTCTTAGTTTCTGAATTCCCAGGATTAGTTTGTAAATCATACTGTCCATTAAGAATGTTCATTGTCCATGACTGCTCCGGGGTGGAATAGGTCTTCAGCAACCCATGCTGGCCGTATTAGGCGACTATGCTTGTCGTAAAAGGCGACTAACGGGATCAAGTGGTCATGCTCGCTGACTTGGTTGATACATGTCATCGATCCCAATTGCATGGATGAATGCTCATGATGTAAATCACTGGATTGGCTGGTCCAGACTTGATTATTCACAGACCGCCGTCATATAGCTTGAATATTGCTGAGTGCAGCGTTAAACAACAAACAACAAACTTTTGTGAAAGTACATTTATCACTGGTTTCATATAATAAACATGTTTGGTCAAATAAAATGATTTCTACATGTGCCGTTTCTGGCAATCAGGAATTTGTTTTAACCATGCCATTTGCAATACAGTACAGTACAGGGAATTTTGAATCCTGCACTCACTCACTCCCTCACTCACTCCCTTACCCACTCACTCACTCACTCACTCCCAAGTGTACATACACCGAACACACTTCCGCTTCCCTCTGGGTACAGCTGTGTTAAGACTAGGGCTGTAGCCACACACTGTTTTGCATGTTAACATCTTGACAGTCATGACTCGTGATAGTTAGCTGGTCATAATAATGATTTGTTGCATGATTAAAAGCATAAACGATCACTAGAATGTTGATTAAGGCGTTGTTTTCTTCATTGAAGGGGATTACTTGACATAAAAAGTTCATTTGAACAGTATACTTCAGTGTAATATGTGCTGTGAGAAAACAATATTATGAAATAAATTTGGTTAATATAAGGTTATTCTTATGTGAGCTTACTAGACGAACCATAATTTTGCTAGACTCGAGTTTCAGGCTAGTGGATAAAGTTGCTGACATTTATGACTCATCACAACCACCATTCCTGCTTCAGTCACTTGCAACAACAGTAAAGTGTTGACAATTTCATTGTGGCATTACTTTAGAAACATTGTTGTTCCAATTGTGCCATTGTAGTCTTTCCATTGTGCCATTATCAAAAACAACAATGTAGATGTTCCATTATCATAAACTGTAATGTAGTCTTTTCATTGTGCCATTATCATAAACAACAATGTAGTCTTTCCATTGTGCCATTATCAAAAACAACAATGTAGTTGTTCCATGATCATAAACAATAATGTAGTCTTTCCATTATCATAAACAACAATATAGTAGTTTCATTGTGCCATGATCATAAACAACAATGTAATGTTTCCATTGTGCCATGATCATAAATAAGCAGGTTTGTTAAAAACAGTGCAGTTTTTTGTTGTGGAATTATTGCAAAAATAAACAATAAACACTCTGCAAGTATCATGACATCATAAAAAGTGTTATATTTTTTAATCATTAACAGTAGTGGTTTATGTTCTGACATGATCATATGTTGGTATTTTCAGTTGAACGTGTGTGAGTGTAAGGAAGACAAATGACAAGTTGGCAATCAAAGATCATTTTCCATAGTGGGGCACTTATGGCCCAGTCGTCTAAAACGCAGCGATTTGCTGTGCAGAGTTGCGTCCCTTGGGCACGCCAGAAACCTATGATTGTGGGTTCGAATCCTGGTTCCCCCCGATTATGTTTCTAGGTTTGTCAGCACCATACCCGTGCTTGTGGGTTTCACCGAAGTGGTAAATGTCTGAGACCTGCATCACTTTGGGCTTTCCTCCCACATTAAGCTGACACGCCGTGATATAACTTGAATAATGTCAAAAGCGGCGTTAAACCCAACTCACTCACTCACTCATTTTTCCATAATTTTCATCAGAATTTCAAGTGGTAAAAATAGACCCTTGTCATGCATCATCTGTTTTTTTAAGAATAAGATACTATGTATATCTGAAAAAGATATATGATATACACCTAGAATTGTTGGTGGTCAGATCCTCTTCAGCCTTCTGCACAATGCTAGTGTTGTGTTGTGGCTTTTGGCTGGGTGGTGTATATGTGGAGACCCTGTGGGGTTGTAGGTATGAATAGGCCTGATTACTTCATGCTTATAGGGAGACATCACTACAATTGGAATCCGATGATCTGGCTCTGTGACATGGCTATGTCATTAGGCCCCGACACTACTAGTTACAAGGTGCTTTAGCTGGAGTAATGCTGACTAACATGAAACTGCTTTTACTCACTCACTCTCTCACTCACTCATTTCTTTTTGTGTCTCTAAGCTTCCATTGTCTTTCACATTGTCAAGGGACCCTTTTCATAACCATGGTATAAAAGTTAGAGCTTTAGGTGTCCTTAGATTGAAATATTATAGAAACAAATGTAAAATAAACCTTCAGAGTTCCTTTCATTGCCAACACTGTTTTCATGGTGTTTTTCCTTCCACAGGGGGCCTAAGAAGAAAAGTGGCTCAATTGCTAGTGAGTACTTTAGTAATGAATAAATGAAGTGATATGTCTTTCCCTCTATTAGCTTGATTAGGGAATACGGGAGTAATAGATGACCCAGTCGTTGAAGCGGTAGCAATTTGCTGTTCAGAGTTGCATCCTTTGTAATGCAAGAATCCTATGATCAAACCCCAGATTCACCCTGAATAATGATTCTTGATTGTGCCATGATCATAAACAACAGGTAGAGTTTCTATTGCAGGATTGTTAAAAACAGTGCAGTATTTTGTTGTGGAATTATTGCCAAAATATACAATTAACACTCTGCAATTTTATGACATCATAAAAAGTGGTATATTTTGTCATCATTAACAGTAGTGGTTTATGTTCTGACATGATCATATGTTGGTATTTTCACTCCACTCTAGACTTGATCCTGTTGTCAGTTGAACGTAAGAAAGACAAATGACAAGTTGGCAATCATAGATCATTTTCCATAGGGGGGCACGGGTGGCCCAGTCGTCTAAGGCGCCGCTATTCGCTGTGCAGAGTTGCATCTCTTGGGTACGCCAGAAACCTATGATTGTGGGTTCGAATCCCGGTTCGCCCCGATTATGTTTCTAGGTTTGTCAGTGCCATACCCATGCTCGTGGGTTTACACAAATACGCTGCTTATCTGTAGCTCTATTTACCCTTATGATGCATGTAAAGACCATTAAAATAACTAAAACTTGTATCATTTGGGTATTTGCTACAATATTAAGCTGACACACTGATATAACTGAAAACGTATTCCAAGTTGTGTTCAACTCAACACAGTCACTCACAATATTACAAAACAATATTGTTTTACAATCCCTTATAAAGAAAATGTCACAGTGTTTAATAATAATAATTTACTTGATTGCAGTTACTGCTGAGGAGCTAAGCAGCTGTAAGGTAGGTTTAAAAATAAATTCTGGTCTTTAAAAGTCTGTTGGTAATTGTTTTCTGAAACCTTCCAGCTGTTGTTGACCAAGGGGAGGCAACTCTATGATGAATAACAAATGCCTCTCTATCTCTAGGAACAAGCAACCATGCAGTTCTGTGCTCACAAACTAGACAAGAAGGACTTCTTTGGCAAATCAGATCCATTCCTGACATTTAGCAGATCCAATGAGGATGGCAGGTAGGAATGGCCAGGAATCTTCCTCAAAGACTTTGGACCTGTAAATCCAGTGTAGAATAGTCCTTCAGCAACCCATGCTTGCCGTAAAAGGTGATTGTGCTTGTTGTTAGAGGCAACTAACGGGATCGGGTGGTCAGGCTCGCTGATTTGGTTGATGCATGTCATCGTATCCCATTTGAATATATCAATGCTCATGATGTCAATCACTGGATTGTCTGGTCCAGTCTTGATTATTTACAGACCGCCTTCATATAGCTGGCATATTGCTGAGTGCGGCATAAAATAACAAACAAACACATCAAAGGCTTGGATGAACTTGTATTGGGATTGAGTACAATTCAGTGTTAAGTATTAAGATGATGAATCCTATGTGTGACTGGACTTGAAGTGACTGTGACAGGACCTGAAGATAGACAGACTTGGATAGATACAGACCACTAGTCCCTAGCTCCTAGTGACATGAGATAATGAAGGAAGTTATGACGATCCATAGAATGGAGTGACATATAAGGAACATTTGGGAAGCGAGAGTTTTGGGTATATAACATCAGTCACTCAGTCACTCGCATGATTGAACTATTGGTTGATTTATTACTTGCTACATTGTTGCAGTTTCACCATCGTACACCGAACGGAGGTGATCAAGAAGACATTGAACCCCACCTGGAAGCCATTTGTCATCCCTGTGCGGTCGCTATGTAATGACAGGTAGGCCTCTCAATGACCATCATAGAAACACCAGGTAGGCCTCTCAATGACCATCATAGAAACACCAGGTAGGCCTCTCAATGACCATCACAGAAACCCTAGGTAGGGCTCTCAATGACCATCATAGAAACACCAGGTAGGCCTCTCAATGACCATCATAGAAACACCAGGTAGGCCTCTCAATGACCATCATAGAAACACCAGGTAGGCCTCTCAATGACCATCATTGAAACACCAGGTAGGCCTCTCAATGACCTCATAGAAACACCAGGTAGGCCTCTCAATGACCATCATAGAAACACCAGGTAGGCCTCTCAATGACCATCATAGAAACACCAGGTAGGCCTCTCAATGACCATCATTGAAACACCAGGTAGGCCTCTCAATGACCTCATAGAAACACCAGGTAGGCCTCTCAATGACCATCATAGAAACACCAGGTAGGCCTCTCAATGACCATCATAGAAACACCAGGTAGGCCTCTCAATGACCTCGTAGAAACACCAGGTAGGCCTCTCAATGACCATCATAGAAACACCAGGTAGGCCTCTCAATGACCATCATAGAAACACCAGGTAGGCCTCTCAGTGACCATCATAGAAACACCAGGTAGGCCTCTCAATGACCTCGTAGAAACACCAGGTAGGCCTCTCAATGACCATCATAGAAACACCAGGTAGGCCTCTCAGTGACCATCATAGAAACACCAGGTAGGCCTCTCAATGACCATCATAGAAACACCAGGTAGGCCTCTCAATGACCATCATTGAAACACCAGGTAGGCCTCTCAATGACCATCATAGAAACACCAGGTAGGCCTCTCAATGACCATCATAGAAACACCAGGTAGGCCTCTCAATGACCATCATAGAAACACCAGGTAGGCCTCTCAATGACCATCATAGAAACACCAGGTAGGCCTCTCAATGACCATCATTGAAACACCAGGTAGGCCTCTCAATGACCATCATAGAAACACCAGGTAGGCCTCTCAATGACCATCATAGAAACACCAGGTAGGCCTCTCAATGACCTCGTAGAAACACCAGGTAGGCCTCTCAATGACCATCATAGAAACACCAGGTAGGCCTCTCAATGATCATCACAGAAACACCAGGTAGGCCTCTTAATGACCATCATAGAAACCCCAGGTAGGCCTCTCAGTGACCATCATAGAAACACCAGGTAGGCCTCTCAATGACCTCGTAGAAACACCAGGTAGGCCTCTCAATGATCATCACAGAAACACCAGGTAGGCCTCTCAATGACATACCATATTTTCTTGAGTATAGTGTGCACCCAAGTATTATGCACTACCACCTCTAGCGGATTCAGTATTTTGAAAAAAGAAAATCGAGTATTATGTGCAGAAAATAATTACACCGTACCTCTTCAGCGAATTCTGGTAAACAAACGAGTGATACAATTTAAAATTTGAGATATAAAATTCACCAGACATGTTGATTTAAGGTTTAAAATTGTATTTTTTGTTCTGCTAGGCATTGTTTTACATCCAGGGATTAAGATTACCTTGTGTATTTTCTCGTAAACTAAGCTGGAAACAGCAGTCAGCTATACACATGTTTTCTTGGAATCTACCGGTTATTTGGTTAAAACTTACCCAATGATATAACTTTAGAGGATTTTGATACAAGGATCAGGAAAAATTGTATCTGAAACTATTTTTTTATCATGAATAATATATTCCAATATCTTGTTATTTCAGTTGCAGCTTTTACTAAATATATTTAACATAATAGTAACCCTAAGGGTAGCACTTTGATGCAGCTGATCGCTATTGCCGGTTATTTATTTTACATGGAACAATTTGACCAGTCACCGTGCACGTGATAGCGAGAACTACATGTTGACATAGAATTTTCAAACTACAACAAATATGACTTTTAACGAGTCAAAGTATGGCATTTATGATATGTGTTTCCATTCTCTATCAACTAAAGTTTGTTTCAAGGCGTCAATAGTGGTAATCTGACTATGGTTGCTGTTAATAATGGTGAGTTGTGCGATCTTCCGATCGCTTCACACACAATTTCGCTGAAATTAATTAAAACAATATTAAAAGGAATTTTGAATTTTGAAGTCAGATATACAATGTACACTTTTTACAACCTGACAGCGTAATTACATGATTAATTTGTGTACGTCAGTATGGATTTGTTGACATGATATTTCCAGTGTTACGTGCTCATGGTAGTGTCTTTGCATTGGGGGGAAAAAAACATCCAAACTCATTATGGCGTGTATAATGCGCACCCCCTTCTACCCAGCTGTGTTTTTTGGAAAAAAAAAGTGTGCACTATACTCAAGAACATATTTTAATACACAATAAAATAACAGTGCACTTGCACCAGTTATCCAGTGTTGTCTACCTCCATTACCATGGACCTCATCACCGTCAAAGCTGACCGCCTCCGTGGTCTTGTGGTAGAGCGTCCGCCCGGAGAGCGGAAGGTCCGGGGTTCGATCCCCGACCGCGTCATACAAAAAGACGTTAAAAGATTGTACTTGTTGTTACCCTGTCTGGCGCTCGGCATTAAGGGGCTAAAACAAGGACTGGTCGTCACGGAGTCAGTATACTGTGTCTGAGTGGGGTATTCATGTTAAACTGCGGCATGGTATCTCAGTGAGCTAGCACTATAAATCGGCATCAGTCCGGACTAGTACAAGCAGCCACACACACACATACACGTGCATGCACGTCGCTATATAAGTTCAATAATCTTGGACGCGATGTTAAACCCAATTTCACCTCACCTCACACTGTCAAAGCTTCATTTGGAAGCGACATCACCATCCCTTTCTCTCTCTTTGGGGTAGGAAATAATCTTTTTATGTTAAATTTACAAGTGCTGGAAATGTTTCCCCTGTACAACACTAGGTAGTTTGACCCCAGCGAGGAATAGTGTCTGTAAGATGGACTTATGTTACCTGTCTCTGTCCCCAGATCTATCAAGATCCAGTGCTATGACTGGGATGCAGATGGAGGGTAAGTGTGTGACCCCCATTCAGGTTTGATGTAGTTACATGTAATGTTTCACAGTCAACAATACTACTGAATGTCCACCGTGGAGATCCAGGTTAAAATAGGCCTTTAGTAACCCATGCTTGTCGTGAGAGGCGGATTATGGGATCGTGTGGTCTGGCTCGCTGACTTGGTTGATGCATATCATCGTATCCAAATTGCATAGATCAATGCTCATGATGTCAATCACTGGATTGTCTGGTCCGTACTCAGTTATTTACAGACTGATGTCATAGAGCTGAAATATTGCTGAGTGAGGCATTAAAACAAACAAACAAAGTGAATGCCCAATATTAGATCTATTGATACACACAAAGGTTTGTTGAATGTGATGTCATCAGTGTTCCTCTGTGTTGGTTGCAGACATGACTTCATTGGGGAATTCACCTCCTCACTTCGGGAGCTGTCAAGGGGCAGGATAGAGCAGAATAGATATGAGGTGAGGAGTAGGGTAGTTCACTCAGTATCCTCTATATACCACTACTTTATTTCCATGTACCCTGTACAGATTTACTGGTTTTATTGAATAGTCAATGCTTGGAAGTTTAGCTTGGAACCGTTGACGTTATGTAATGGTCTGAAACAATGTGTTTCAGAGTACCAATATGTGAAGGACATTGTGTTACAGTGTACAATACATGAATGACATTGTGTTACAGTGTACAAAACATGAATGACATTGTGTTGAGGTGTACAATACATGAATGACATTGTGTTGAGGTGTACAATACATGAATGACATGTTACAATGTACAATACATGAATGACGTTATGTTACAGTGGACAATACATGTATGACATTGTGTTACAGTGTACAATACATGAATGACATTGTGTTGCGGTGTACAATATATGAATGACATTGTGTTAAATGTACAATACATGAATGACATGTTACAATGTACAATACATGAATGACATTGTGTTACAGTGTACAATACATGAATGTCATTATGTTACAGTGTATAAATCCAAAGAAGAAGGCAAAGAAAGGGAACAAGTATCAGAATTCAGGAGTTGTAAGTTTGTAGTGATTTAATTCCTTACATCATCCACCAAACAAACTATTTGACACTGTCTTCCTATGGAGGTTTGAGCACAGGAAAATCCCCAGTACCCAATGCATGTAAGGACTGACTACACTAAGGAATACCGGGGTGCCTAACATTTTGTCTTGGATCACTGTAAATGCATTCAGCATTTTATCAGGTCCAGGGACCCATTCAACTTATGATTGCTGTACATGTTAGTTATTAAAGTTTAGAAGTCTCTTCCTGTTGTTTCCTGTGCTGCCTGATTGACAATACTGATCAGATCCAGTTGGTTTAAGTTAGTATGTATGTGGAATGTCACAGTCCAGACTAGATTAAATAATAGAAGTCTTTTGAATTGAAGTGTTATATGCTCTTGACTTTGGTTGAGTTTTTGTGAGTTTATGTTTTACGTCACATCGGCAATATTTCAGCCATGTCGTAAGGCTTTGGTTGATGTATTCTTGTGTTCTGGGCTTTTGTTGATGGAATATTCTTGCTGCTTCAGGTGGAGCTGATGTCGTGCAAGGTTGCTAAGGTCTTTACTTTCCTGGATTACATCAGAGGAGGGTGAGTTACCCGGGTGATTACAGTGTGTGATGTCACTGACTTTTTGTCGTCCTTTTATGATGGGGTTTGCTCATGTTATCAACCACTGGGTTATGAGCTACTTGGGTCAATACCAATTTAGTCAGTCACCTGAATGGGCTTGTGCACTACAAGGTACATGTATGTGTACATGAATGTTCAGCTTGTAAGATCCTGTTCACAGGGTTATGGATGCATGTAATGTATTTGTCCTTTTAGTTTACATGTTCCAAAGAATTCTTGTTGGTGAACTCTATGCCTGTGACAATAAGATTTATCTTGTGACCCGTGAAGATCCAGGGTAGAATTGGTCTTCTCAACGCATAGGCTTGTCGTAAGAGGCAATGAACGGGATCAGGTGGTCAGGCTGGCTGACTTGGTTGATATATGTCATTGTATCCCAATTGCGTGGATCGATGCTGATGATGTCAATCACTTGACTTTCTGGTCCAGACTTGATTATTTACAGACTGCCTTCATATAGCTTGAATATTGCTGAGTTTGGCATTAAACAACACACAAACAAAAATAATCTCCCTTGTTCTATCAGTGTGGTACCACAAAGTCAGTTGTGACCAGCTAGTGTTTCACTGTCAAGCATTATCAGGTCATATCTGTACTGGCCGTCCAGCTGACTTGTATGGGTGTTCACAAGACAGCAACTAGCCTATCAGTTAGCTAGATTCCTTAACAAGTGCTGATAGTGCCTGGCTCATGGGGACTGTGTTTTTGCATGCTGCCGGGATTGGCGGGATTACTACTAAGCTATTATTAATTATGAGGTTCAATTAATATTATGGAAGTAAATGTATTTTTATCCTACTAAACTTTTAAAAATGTTTTGAGTATTATTTGAATTAATTTTTAAACTATATAGTAATTGAGTTTTCTATATTTATTACAACATTTCAGAACCCGACTACACTGTACGTTTGCTGTTGATTTTACTGCCTCGAATGGCGACCCGAAAACCCCTACCTCTCTGCACTACTTGAACCCCTACAGACCAAACCCATACGCCACCGCCGTCCGCGCTGTCGGCGACATCATCCAGGATTATGATACGTGAGTCTTCGTAGCCATGTGAACAGGTGGCCTAAAGCACAGAGTTGTGTCCCCTGTCTGTTGGTCATGGGTGAAATGAGGACCCCTTGTCTTTCTTTCTCAGTTTTGGACACTGCCAGGCCATTGATATGCTAGAGATAAATGGCATCAGGACATTTTGATATTTTTGATGGGACATTCTTCTCAGTCATTGCTAAGTTTGAATAAGATCTTGGAAGACTTGTATGGTCAGTCATTGTTCTAGAAAATGACTGTATTTGAAAGCCTGCAGGCATGTTGTCATAAGTTACAGTAATGAGGCCAGGCTTGTGTTGATATGCTGCTTCCTTCTTCCAGTGACAAACTGTTCCCTGCGCTTGGATTCGGTGCCAGACTACCTCCAGATGGCGTTGTATCTCACGAGTTCGCATTGGTAAGTACCTAGCCCTTAGCTTGTTATGCTTGATGTATTGAGACGTGGCATGTTTATAGGAAGGAATAAGGAGGTTGGAACCAATAACACAGGCTTATTGGGTGGTACAGAGTATGGTGTAAGCAGTGATAGATAGCAACATTTTTAGTCCACAAGTCCTCAAAGCGATAACATATAGCAAAGCCCTTAAAAATGGCATTTTTCTTCTCATCTTTACGATACCTTAACTACTGGTCAGATTTGGTAAGGACTATAGGACAAGTTCCAATTTCTATCTCTGTGTAAGGGAGATAACCCTGATTTGGCACAGATAAGCCAACATGTGGAAAATGTTTATCCTGGTGCTACTTCAACTACTACTAATACTAATAATACTACTGTTTCTACTCGGGAAGGGCTGTGATTGTTATAATGATATTGTCAAAGGTCAAGGTCATTCACATACTAGTGAGTGAGTGAGTTAAATTTATCTTCGCTTCTGCAATATTTTAGACATATAGACTCAAGAACAAGTTGATATATATGTACAATTGAGTCAAGAATATATCATCACATTTAGAACCAAATTTGTGATATATATTTTATCATAATAATCACTTATTTGAGGCTGATAAAGTTGCAATATCTAATATAGTATGTGCACATGGTCCATTCATTTATCTTTAAATTTTAGTCCAAATTAGAAGAGAAATATCCTTACTCCATGAAGTAGTACCTGAACATGTTTATTTCAGAATGGAAACCCCAACAACCCGTACTGTGAAGGGGTGCAGGGGGTGCTGGACTCCTACCACAGGACTCTCCACTCTGTCCAGCTGTACGGACCCACCAACTTTGCTCCAGTCGTCAACCATGTGGCCAGGTAATCCCGCCTCCTGTAGCTGATGATCTGTATTGTTAATAACGCCTGTGGGGCTTCTGGCTTACAATTGGTCCACAGCAGCCTGTGCTGTGGTTGAGTGCGGGTCATTGTACCCTGAAAGTGTAAATTGTTGCTCATGATATCGGTCACTTGATTGTCTGGTCCAGACTTAATTATTTACAGGGCACCATCACGTAGCTGAAATATTGGTGAGTGCAGCAATGTTAAACAAGAAACCATAAATAACAAAAACAACAAAAATCATGAACATATGCTATCTTCCTATTTTTACTGGAATAATGTCTTCCCAATATTAGCGTGATATGCCTGTTGTTTCTGAAAAACATCTTCATGTGATTGTGGGTTTTTTTGGGGTGGGGGGAGGGTTCCATGCCTTCAAGATATTGCTACATGTTGATGAATCGTGAAAGAGCAATACACAGAGTCTACAATATGAGTTGGACTGATACATTAGAATGTTCCCAACCAAGTATCTGTCACAAGATTTCATAAATGGAAACAAAAATAAAATATCTCTTTTATTGTTACATAACAGACTCATTTAAATTGCCATAGATACTGAACTATGTTTTCACTCACAAGCAGATGTCTGGAGTTATTTTGCTTGTTCATTTCAGCTTTGCACAGACCTCACAGCAAGGGGCCGACTACTTCATCCTTCTTATCATAACTGATGGAATCATCACCGACATGCCCCAGACCACCGAGGCCATCGTTAAGGTGAGTAGTGATGGAATCATCACCGACATGCCCCAGACCACCGAGGCCATCGTTAAGGTGAGTAGCGTTGGAATCATCATTGACATGCCCCAGACCACCGAGGCCATCGTTAAGGTGAGTAGTGTTGGAATCATCACCGACATGCCCCAGACCACCGAGGCCATCGTTAAGGTGAGTAGTGATGGAATCATCACCGACATGCCCCAGACCACCGAGGCCATCGTTAAGGTGAGTAGCGTTGGAATCATCACTGACATGCCCCAGACCACCGAGGCCATCGTTAAGGTGAGTAGTGATGGAATCATCACCGACATGCCCCAGACCACCGAGGCCATCATTAAGGTGAGTAGTGATGGAATCATCACCGACATGCCCCAGACCACCGAGGCCATCGTTAAGGTGAGTAGTGATGGAATCATCACCGACATGCCCCAGACCACCGAGGCCATCGTTAAGGTGAGTAGCGTTGGAATCATCATTGACATGCCCCAGACCACCGAGGCCATCGTTAAGGTGAGTAGTGTTGGAATCATCACCGACATGCCCCAGACCACCGAGGCCATCGTTAAGGTGAGTAGTGATGGAATCATCACCGACATGCCCCAGACCACCGAGGCCATCGTTAAGGTGAGTAGCGTTGGAATCATCACCGACATGCCCCAGACCACCGAGGCCATCATTAAGGTGAGTAGCGTTGGAATCATCACTGACATGCCCCAGACCACCGAGGCCATCGTTAAGGTGAGTAGCGTTGGAATCATCATTGACATGCCCCAGACCACCGAGGCCATCGTTAAGGTGAGTAGCGTTGGAATCATCACCGACATGCCCCAGACCACCGAGGCCATCGTTAAGGTGAGTAGTGATGGAATCATCACCGACATGCCCCAGACCACCGAGGCCATCATTAAGGTGAGTAGTGATGGAATCATCACCGACATGCCCCAGACCACCGAGGCCATCGTTAAGGTGAGTAGTGATGGAATCATCACCGACATGCCCCAGACCACCGAGGCCATCGTTAAGGTGAGTAGCGTTGGAATCATCATTGACATGCCCCAGACCACCGAGGCCATCGTTAAGGTGAGTAGTGTTGGAATCATCACCGACATGCCCCAGACCACCGAGGCCATCGTTAAGGTGAGTAGTGATGGAATCATCACCGACATGCCCCAGACCACCGAGGCCATCGTTAAGGTGAGTAGCGTTGGAATCATCACCGACATGCCCCAGACCACCGAGGCCATCATTAAGGTGAGTAGCGTTGGAATCATCACTGACATGCCCCAGACCACCGAGGCCATCGTTAAGGTGAGTAGCGTTGGAATCATCATTGACATGCCCCAGACCACCGAGGCCATCGTTAAGGTGAGTAGCGTTGGAATCATCACCGACATGCCCCAGACCACCGAGGCCATCGTTAAGGTGAGTAGTGATGGAATCATCACCGACATGCCCCAGACCACCGAGGCCATCGTTAAGGTGAGTAGCGTTGGAATCATCACCGACATGCCCCAGACCACCGAGGCCATCGTTAAGGTGAGTAGTGTTGGAATCATCACCGACATGCCCCAGACCACCGAGGCCATCGTTAAGGTGAGTAGCGTTGGAATCATCACCGACATGCCCCAGACCACCGAGGCCATCGTTAAGGTGAGTAGTGATGGAATCATCACAGACATGCCCCAGACCACAGAGGCCATCGTTAAGGTGAGTAGTGTTGGAGTCATCACCGACATGCCCCAGACCACCGAGGCCATCGTTAAGGTGAGTAGTGTTGGAGTCATCACCGAGATGCCTCAGACCACCGAGGCCATCGTTAAGGTGAGTAGCGTTCGAATCATCACCGACATGCCCCAGACCACCGAGGCCATCGTTAAGGTGAGTAGCGTTGGAATCATCACCGACATGCCCCAGACCACCGAGGCCATCGTTAAGGTGAGTAGCGTTGGAATCATCACTGACATGCCCCAGACCACCGAGGCCATCGTTAAGGTGAGTAGCGTTGGAATCATCACCGACATGCCCCAGACCACCGAGGCCATCGTTAAGGTGAGTAGCGTTGGAATCATCACTGACATGCCCCAGACCACCGAGGCCATCGTTAAGCGTTAAGGTGAGTAGTGTTGGAGTCATCACCGACATGCCCCAGACCACCGAGGCCATCGTTAAGGTGAGTAGCGTTGGAATCATCACCGACATGCCCCAGACCACCGAGGCCATCGTTAAGGTGAGTAGTGTTGGAGTCATCACCGACATGCCCCAGACCACCGAGGCCATCATTAAGGTGAGTAGTGTTGGAGTCATCACCGACATGCCCCAGACCACCGAGGCCATCGTTAAGATGAGTAGTGATGGAATCATCACCGACATGCCCCAGACCACCGAGGCCATCGTTAAGGTGAGTAGTGATGGAATCATCACCGACATGCCCCAGACCACCGAGGCCATCGTTAAGGTGAGTAGCATTGGAATCATCACCGACATGCCCCAGACCACCGAGGCCATCGTTAAGGTGAGTAGTGATGGAATCATCACCGACATGCCCCAGACCACCGAGGCCATCGTTAAGGTGAGTAGCCTTGGAATCATCACCGACATGCCCCAGACCACCGAGGCCATCATTAAGGTGAGTAGCGTTGGAATCATCACTGACATGCCCCAGACCACCGAGGCCATCGTTAAGGTGAGTAGCGTTGGAATCATCACTGACATGCCCCAGACCACCGAGGCCATCGTTAAGGTGAGTAGCGTTGGAATCATCACCGACATGCCCCAGACCACCGAGGCCATCGTTAAGGTGAGTAGCGTTGGAATCATCACCGACATGCCCCAGACCACCGAGGCCATCGTTAAGGTGAGTAGCGTTGGAATCATCACCGACATGCCCCAGACCACCGAGGCCATCGTTAAGGTGAGTAGTGATGGAATCATCACCGACATGCCCCAGACCACCGAGGCCATCGTTAAGGTGAGTAGCGTTGGAATCATCACCGACATGCCCCAGACCACCGAGGCCATCGTTAAGGTGAGTAGCGTTGGAATCATCACTGACATGCCCCAGACCACCGAGGCCATCATTAAGGTGAGTAGCGTTGGAATCATCACTGACATGCCCCAGACCACTGAGGCCATCGTTAAGGTGAGTAGCGTTGGAATCATCACCGACATGCCCCAGACCACCGAGGCCATCGTTAAGGTGAGTGGTGATGGAATCATCACCGACATGCCCCAGACCACCGAGGCCATCGTTAAGGTGAGTAGCGTTGGAATCATCACCGACATGCCCCAGACCACCGAGGCCATCGTTAAGGTGAGTAGTGTTGGAATCATCACTGACATGCCCCAGACCACCGAGGCCATCATTAAGGTGAGTAGTGTTGGAATCATCACCGACATGCCCCAGACCATCTTCCCGAGCCAAGGGCGTTAACTTACTATAAAAGCCCAGTTTCCACCTTTGCCGAACTAGGCTGGAATTACAGAGTTAAATTTTTGTTGGACTAACAAGTCTATGCATAGTACACTCAAAATCGTGTATCGAACTAGAATTCTGGTTTGTAAACAACATGGATTTCAACTCATGGCCAACAAGTTGTTGCATAACAGCAGTTGGACCTTGCCAAAATGATTCCATGAATATAATAAAAACTAATTTTCTATGGATTATTCAAAATCGTTGCTCCTTCAAAAACCTTTGTGACTTATGATTAACAGCAACTGACAAATCAATTTATATTGCCACCTGGGTCCTCTTTTTTTTACAACCCTTGGGTTATTGTAACAAGATGTGTCCCATAGAATCCAAACAGCTTTGAGTGGAGCTCTTGCTTTCAACAACTGGTTTGTCAGGTCCAGCGATGTGTACCTACACACTGTCTTGATATAGCTGTACCCCGGTAGTATTGCTCAGCAAAATTAGATAGCATTCACCAAGTGGCTGAAAGGTTTGAACTACCTATACCACCTTCGATTCCCATCATGGGTACATTGTGTGAAGCCCATTCCTGGTGTCCCCAGCCGTGATATTGCTGGAATATTGCTAAAAGCGGCGTAAAACCATACTCACTCACTCACTCACTCACTCACTCACTCACCTATACCACCTCAATTTATGGGGCTTGACACATACATCAGCTGAGGCCGTGGGGTGGACTGGTGGTTAAAGCAATTGTTCATCACGCCAAAGACCCTTGGATTGATTACCCTCCATTTCGGGTGTCCCCCACCATGTTACTGTTGGAATATTGCTAATGGTTCTTATGCAGTATGCATCAGGTGATCAGCTAGTGCTTATAGAATATAGTATATGCCGGGCCAATGCTGTCTGCTATTGAGATTAGGGAATAGGTGTTCATTGCTCCAGAAGGCAATACAAATGGATTTGTCAGTTGCTGTCAGTTATACTTGAATGATTAAAGCTGTACTTATTTGATGATGGTGTGTTTCCAGGCTGCCAGTTTGCCTATGTCAATCATCATCATCGGTGTCGGGGATGCAGACTTCGAAGGTAAAGTAATATCTATCAATAAATCTATATCTCCGATTTGTGATTTTCTGGAGAGAGATAGATTATGTGAGAAATGCGTTTGTTCAGTATTACTTGACATCTAGAACTAGATAATGAAGGAGGACTGACAGATACTTAGTTAGGGACTGATCTAGGCATTCTCAGTTACCAAGGTCTTTGTAAAAAAACCTGGTAAAAATCAGGTTATTTAAATGTAACTTATTGTTTACTTTTGCAAAGATGACATGTGATTCATTGATAACCAGATCAATTTAGTTTGGTTTGCTCAACCACACGCTTATGACAGATGTTATTGTATTTGACCCGATATACATCCTGTATAACCCCAGGGAGTATTGGGGACATATGATTGGATAAGATTGAAGGTCAAGGTCACTAAGTATGAACTAGGTGTCAAAAAAGCTTGTGCTAACTTAAATATTTATGAATGGAATTTGATGAAACTTAAGTATTTTTGAATAGAACCTATGAAGCTTAGAATGCATGATCTCTAATGTGTGGGTGACCTCTGTATAAGTTTAAGGTAAAAGTTTCACAAAATTTCTGATTCATTCAGACGGCCTCCGTGGTCTAGTGGTAGAGCGTCCGCCCAGAAAGCGGAAGGTCTGGGGTTCGATCCCCAACCGCATCATACCAGAAGACGTTAAAAGATGGTACTTGTTGTTACCCTGCCTGGTGCATGTCATTAAGGGGCTAAAACAAGGACAGGTTGGCTCGGAGTGCATGCACGTCACTATATATAGCGACGTGCATGCACTCCGAGCCAACCTGTCCTTGTGCAATAATCTTGGACGCGACGTTAAACCACATTTCACCTCACCTCACTTCTGCTTGATTGATGAACATTTGAAGCATTTTCCAGTCACTTATGACACCCAATAATGAACTCAATGTGATAATTGTGTCAAATTTAATGGTCACTTTGAACGTCATTCACTCTTGAAATAACTTGTAAAAAGTTTCATTCAGAAAGATTTGCCGTCCACATGCATTTCGTTGAAGTCCCTGTAGGTGGACAACTGATTGACAATTGTTTCTTGCTTGCAGCCATGGAGGTGCTGGATGGCGATGATGTGCAGCTGTCGTCACGAGGACGGTATGCTGAGAGAGACATTGTACAGGTAACACCTGAAATGTAGTAGCTTCTTTAACTTACTTGGCCCAAAAGTGGCTGAGCTTACATCATAATTCTCTTCTCAGACATGATCAAATGATAAAACAGTTGAAGTAATATTTTTTTTTTTGTTCCTGGCTAAACATACCATGACTCAACTTTTAGGAGCAAATTTAATTTTTTATTCTGCTAATAGGATTATCATATCCAATGTGTGTTTCAGTATAACAATATAAAAATTTGAATGGTTGAAACTTGAACTTTATCTCAAATATACATGTGGTTGTTTGTGTCTTGTTTTAGTTTGTCCCACTGCGTGACTTCCTTGGTCGTAATGGCGAGGACCCCCAGTCTGTTCAGGCCAGACTAGCTAAGGAAGTGTTGGAGGAGATCCCCGACCAGTTCCTGTCATACATGCAGCGCCACAACGTCAAGCCCAAACCCCCCCTGGAGAGACGCCTCACCATCACCTCAGTCAGCTCTCTCCCGGTCTCCCAGCAGTGAGGGGGGAGGAGAGAGGCGGTGACATAGGACAAAATCCTAGGCTGAGAAGAGACCCTTCTTGTGGAACACTGCCCTTGTGCGGTCATTGTAGAACAGACTTTTCTTATTTAAGGAGAAACCAGAACAAAATATTGTTTATCATTATCGGGTGCCCCAAGACAGAAAACTTTTGTAGAGTGAAGGCCACTGGAGAGATTATGACAGACAAGGCAGCTGCTCTTGTGTCTGGGCATGGGCAGCTCCAACAGGACATTGTTTTACAGGGTACGTGTTCATGTAGCGGGTTGACATACACCATGCCAGTTTGTGATTTAGTGCAATATGTATTGGAACCGCTAAGAGAAGATCAAACTGAACTTCACTGATGACTTTACTTGTTTATTACTATAAGGCATGGGACAATAAAAATAAACATATTCTACTCAAAGGAGGTGAAGGACCACCTGATTCCTTCACCTTACTATAGTTAATCTGTCATTGACTTGAAATGAATGATAAAGAATTAACTTATTTTATAGTTTCTGTGCAAGCCTCAGTTGTTTGTGCTGTAAACAAGCAAATAGTTGCTGGATAAAGGGATCTGTAGCATGAGTATTAATAACTGTACTTAGATGTTGCATTGATAGAATGTTAGAAGCTTCATTGATACTAGAGTGATGCTTCTTCCAGATATTGGCTGGTATGGTATGAGTTATCGTGTTGTCATCATCAAGAAGCTACTGGTACTAGTATTTCAAGTCAAGTGTGATGTCTTAGACTGTGTCAATGTCCCGCTCACATACTTAACACAGGAAATTAGGTTGATGTTATATTTTCAAATATTTATTGGCTTGTCTTCCAGTAGTACTTTCAATAATAATTTCACAAATGATGATGGTTCAGAGGAGTAATCAGTAATCTGTAATCAGAAGTGTTTTCATGTCAATAGTGGGTGTGTCAGTGTCTCTAAGCCTTTCTGTGCTACATAAGGAATACAAGGGTCCAGTCAGAAGCATCAACATTGATCAGTTTACAGGCATAACTTACCACTGCCAGGGCAAATTGGCCACGCAACCACAAGTTCAAACAATGGTAGCATATTTGGGGAAAATATATTTTGCATATATAATGTTTCAGATGTGAACATCCTGTTTTGTTTGGTTCTGTATCGCGAGAAGATCTAATAACACCACATGTAACTTGAATCAGAAATGTTAAATGATTTTGAAATTGTATGTGCAGATGTATGTAAGGGACCTACCATTTCATATTCTTGGGGTTGGGGGTTGGGGGTTGGGGGTTGGGGGTTGGGGTTGGGATTTTGGGTGGGGACAATCAATTGTTGGTCCTGGAGTGCCAGTATTTCTGTCATTTGGGATATAGAAACCACAAATGTTAATCACCATTATGTCATCACATGGTGTATTATTGACATCCATCATCAGAGATTAGGTGACTCGTTCCTACATCCTTCTCAGGTCTTGCTGGAGGTTCTGTGCTGACCGGGTCAATACATTTCATAAGGCCTCAGTCATTGCAGCTTTTTGAAGATGAATTATGAAGAATAAACTTCAAGATTGTTGTGAATGTCAGAAATACAAGTCACAGTCCACATGTTGTTATTGTTATTCAAGACTGTATATGGTCAATTGTTGCAAAAATGAATGCAATGTTGTCTTTGCGGGTCAATGTTATATCAACATCTATGATGGCATCGACCTTGTTGTCCAAGGTCAGACAATGTGTGTTTTGTGCAGTCAACTCTATCACCTTGTATTGTTGCAGCTAATTTTGTATACAACTGTGATGGCCTTGACCTCTTTGTTAGGCTTGACCCTGTTGAACTTAGTCAGGTCAAGTGTGTTTCATTGATTTTGTCGGTCAATTTAAATTGACATCAATTTGAATGTTTTTTAAGCCTTTACATGACTTTATACTCTTTTTAATTTTTGAAACAAATGTATTGGTAAGGAACTGCCTCTTGAAAAAAAGAGTTTATGATTGCTGATGTGTAGAACAGAAAAATTCTATTCACAAATCTTATACTCATTTAAAGTTCTTATTCTTATAATGTTGTTTATTATAGATAGTGAAGAGCATCTTACTGTTTTCTGATATTCTAGAGATTTTACCACATGTGAAATCTGCTGTTTATATTTTCTGTTATAATTTTAGCATGTGTGAAATCTGCTGTTTATATTTTCATTTATAATTTTAGCATGTGTATATATGTAACAGTGATAAAGTATGATGCAGTGTTCAGTAGGACTTGTTGGGAGGGGTCATCAGACTGCTGGTTGCGATGTGGGTAGTTTGTTGCAAGAGTCCGTGCTGTTACTAGATGACACTGTCGCCAAGTGGAAACAGCTGACACTGATATTGGAGTGAGGTTCTGCGTCTTCCCTTCGTTGCTCAGAGACACAGGTTGAGTGTTCAAATGCCAGTATTATCAGTGCCTGGCACTTCTTTTTAACAGTACATGTAGGTTTCAAAGTAATAAACATGCCATTTTGCGTTTTTTTCACACAATGACATTACTTGTATCGCGTTAAAGTCATTGTTATATCCTATGGAGTGAGAAAGATAAATCTTGGTTTTATTCCTCACTAGTCATAGGTGGATCCCTTTTTGAAAAGCAAATGTAGTAGTATGTTGTAGGCAATAAAATTGATGTATTGGACCCCTCCCTTTTAGAAATGCCGGATCCGCCCTTGCCAGTGATGGGTTTGTCTGGTGACCTGTGGTGTGACCCAGGCCCCAGTACCTCATGCTTATTATGAACAACTGAGCCTGGTTGATTGTTTGTCATAGTAACCTGATGCAGTGGATCATGCTTCAAGACACTCAGTTTGTTGTCAGACTCAGTTATTTACTGGCTGCTAGGATATGGCTGAAATACTATTGACTGGCTTTATACAACCTTCACTTACTCATCCCACTGTTATTGCTGTTGTTATGTATGGGCTAACAGCACTTGTGTTCAGTAATAATCCGACTTTTTTAGGCCAGGACAAAATATGTACAGACTACAGTTTCAATGTAAAATGAAAAGCTGTCAAGTCTTTTTTCTTATAAATACTAAAGAAATTGCTTGTGCTCAAAATTCTGATTCAATGTGAATTGCTTTTTGTCTATTTTACTTATGTAATTCTAAAAACTATTAAAAAAATATTGTTGGAATTTTTGACAATATTCAAGCATCAATTCTTCATTCAGGCAGTGTTTGGGTGACAAATCTTTGGCGTTACAGTACTCTGGCCTTTGTGCTGTGAGGTCATAATTCATTAGTTTTTGTAGAAATATTTGGATTATTTGCAAATCAGTCGCAACTTCTTTGCTCTTGATTCACCATTTCAGAAGGGGATAACAAGCTTTTGTTGTAGTGTATGTCCTATGTGGGCCACCCAGGACATCACTGTAATGTCAGGTTACAGTGTAAGGAACATGCCCTCTCAGCCCTGCTTTGTGAGTCTCAACCCTGCTTTGTGAGTCTCAGCCCTGCTTTGTGAGTCTCAGCCCTGCTTTGCGAGTCTCAGCTATACTTCTTGAGTCTCAGGTATGCTTCTCCAGTCTCAACCCTGCTTCTTGTGTGCACTGTGCAAGTCTACCAACCCTTGTTATTATTTACCCAAGTGAGGTGTACCATTTTAGATAGCTTTGTTGTATTATCTATATCAGAGATTTCAAAGAGTGATAACAGTTGCGTTTAAGGGTTCTTGCAGTGCAAATAACATGGCAACTTGTATAATTTTAACCTGAATTAACAGATTTCCAGGAACCCTCTTGATCCACCAATGTTGTCTATTGATAGTGTTATCATGGGTCAACTCTGCAGTGTTTATATATGTTGCATGTTTGACAGCAGTGTTTTTATATAGTGCATGTATGATATGGCAAATGTGATGACTACCTATGTCTTTGGTCACAGGATATATGAATAGCTGTAAGATTGGTATGAGACTTCAAGAAGTATATTGTTACGCAATTAGTGATATCTTGTGTTTTTGCATGATTATTTTATGATTGAAAACCGAACATGTTAACACAATAAAATATGCTAACGTCTCCGTAATGACTTTTTATTTCCCACAAATTTACTTGTAAGTTGTTCAAGAGTCAATATGATTTATTGAAACGCAGTTTATCTATCTGAACTGTTCATTGACAAACATGGCCACATGTGGCCCAGTTGTCTAAACTGCTGCAACTTGCTGTGCAGAGTTGCATCCCTTGGGCATGCCAGGAACATGATTGTGGGTTCAAATCGCTGTCCGCTCCGATTATGTTTCTAGGTTTGTCTGCACAATACCCTTGTTCGTGGGTTTCACCAAAGTGGTTGAAGTCTGTCACCTGCATCACTTTGGGCTTTCCTCCTACATTAAACTGACTCACCCTGATATTACTGGAATACTGTTCAAAGCTGCGGCAAATCCAACTCAATCAGTGACGAACACAATCCAGGAAAGGCTCCAGTTCTTGGTGGCATCTAAAACAATTACATCATTGTACTTATGTTTCTGTGGAATACCCCTTTCTCCTCTACGTTTATGAAGGGGCACCAGTTGCCCTCAAGTCTGTGCAGAGCTGTGTCGCTATGCAGTGTGAGAATCATGTTTTTTCCCATGATTGTGATCTTTGGCTTGTCAGCACCCCAGGTGGTTGCTTTCTGGGTTTCAAGTGGTAAACCTGTAGAAACTCTGTTTTGGACTTGCCACCCATAAGCTAGTACCTGTGACATAACTGTCTCGTTAAATCGCTTACTTTTAAAGATTGCACTATGCATTTATTGACCATGTGCACAGTGTTGGACAACTGGGCCACCCATGGTTTGTGAGACCCACAAAGACGGTTTTCCAAATTTAAAAACAGTCATATGCAATTTCTGTTTTCCTTCACAAAATGATATATAAATACAGTGTACTCACCTGGTTTCAAGTGTTAAAGTCTAAACCAACGATGTTGCTTTGGGATTTCTGCCCACAATAAGCTCACAGATGTAATATGACTGAAACACTGTTCTAAGCTCTGTCAAATTGAAACACACTCGATGTTTAAGTGAGTGAGTTGGGTTTAACGCCGCTTTTAATAGGATTCCAGTTATATCACGGCGTGTCAGCTTAATGTGGGAGGAAAGCCCGAAGTGATGCAGGTTTCAGACGTTTAAACCCACGAACACGGGTATGGTGCTGACAAACCAAGAAACATAATCGGGGCAAACCAGGATTCGAACCCACAATCATAGGTTTCTGCCATGCCCAAGGGACGCAACTCTGCACAGCGAATCGCGGTGCCTTAGACGACTGGGCCACCCGTGCCCCCACACTGGATGTTTAAGAATGAAGGAAGCATCAGTAGTGTCTTGTGACCATGTGGTTATTAGCTTGAGCAGGGTGTCAACATCTTTGTATAGTCTCCCTGGTTTCAGACATGGCTGCATGAGTTACTATATCCCATAGTCGTCTGGCGTTCCGGTATCCCTGGTTTAGTGTATGGAGTGTCGGCCCACAGAGCCATATTAACCACAGGGCGGTGTTTCGATCCCTGGCCGCGTCATACCAAAAGACATTAAAAGATGGTACTTGTTGTTTCCCCGTCTGTTGTTAAACTGTGGCATGGCATCTCAGTGGGCTATCACTTTAAACATGACATAAGTCCCGTCAAAGTACAGGCAGTGAAAGTACAACACGCACGCGCATTGACTGTGAGTGCATGGTGGTGGCGTGAAATGATGTTTTGTCACGTTCAAGATTATTGCACTTATATAGTGACTAGTGACATGTGCGTGCGTGCCTGCGTGCGTGTGGTCGTGTCCCTGTCCGAGCTGACCAGTCCTTGTTTTAGCTCCTTAATACCCAGCACCATGCAGGGTATAAACAACATTATCTCACCTTACATTAAAACACTATCTTCAAATTGATTAAGTAGCGGGCATTTATTTTCCATGTAATTATTTATCATGTAACGTTGTCAACCGATTCCTCCGGGCATAGGGTGTGATGTACCCTGTGTGTGAGCCAGTTGACAACTTATTATGTCTTTTGGTATGACCCGGCCAGGGACTGAACCTGCGAACTTCAGCTTTCCTGGCGGACGCGCTACCCACAAAACCATGGAGGCGGTCCCGTCGCTATTCAAGTGCACTAGTCTTTAAAGTTAAACCCAATTTCACCACCTCTCCTCTGTGGGTCTGGTCGGGTAAAATCAGCCACGTCCGCGCTTTGGAGTTGCAAGATCTTGGCTACAAGTCGAACAGTATTTTCAAAACGTACAAGAACCGAGCGAATG